TAATTCTTCCTCTAGTTGAACCCTAACCCTACCTAAGGGCCCCCCACACCCCGATCCGACAGAGCATTTGGGAGGATGTAAATCATGGTAACTCAACTGAACCACAAAGACTAGACCGTGCTCACTGCGCACAAGGAACCGCCCTCACTTTGAGAGGTTGCTCCCACACTGCCGCTGGTAAGACTCGATCCCTGGTCATTCTTCTAAAGTTTCACCTCTGTGACCAGTTGAGCTACCCATACGGGTATACGATCTTAATTGTGAAACGGATTGAACGTAACAATACCCAAACGCCTTTACACTCTAATCGGACAGAACCACAAAGGAGTAATTTTTACGATAACCCTTAAGATAGCTAGCTAGCTACTTCCAATGTTGCAATATATATCTTGGTTCCCATATACAACCCATCCTCCTTGACAACCCAAACACAATCATAGGTGGGGCAGTTGGCCTTGGCAAAATCTTCATCGAAAACATCGAAAGTCGCATGTTTGTTTCCCCAGTCAAAGCCGCAGGTATAAATTAAATGGTTTTGCCCACAATATGCAACCCAAATTTCCAGGTAAACTCTGCGTTTTTAGAAACAGTTTTAGGTTCCAGATCGGTTCCTTTACTTTTACAGTGAAATTTCAGCTCGCCGGAAAGCTAGCTTATTCTGGATATCAACCTCGGCGCGCATTTCCCTCGACAGGCATGTCGGCGACAAGACACTAAGGATAATCAATAATAACAAACAAAACGATAGTCTCATCATCTCATCTCATAGATGATCTTATGTTTTACTGCATATATATATATATATATATATATATATATATATATATATATATATATATATATATATATAGATGCATGGTTTATGGCTGTCCGGACTTTCATATGCAAAAGTGGGGGACGATTTGGCATGAACGGAATAATCTCGTACAAAAAAATTAAAATTAAATGACAAGTCTGTCGATAAAACTGGTCATAGTGTATGTAAATTTTATTCTGGGTGAAACATGACAATGAAAAAGAGATATTAATTTCAAGTGGTATGCAAGATTATTCAACCACTGTCAGTCTTGGATACATTTGACCAAATCATTAAAAAAGTTTTAAGTTTCTCAAAAGAATCCAGCTTCAAATTAAACTTGTGAAACAGTTTGCGAATCATGTTTTCTTTAGCATTGTTACAAAAGTTGCTTCTATGTCTAACGGTAAGGAATGTTTAACCACTCCATTGATCTTTATTGTAAACGTTTCAGCCTATGATTAATGAATTAACTTCTTTTTAAAAAAAAATATTTTTATTGGTTATATATATATATATATATATATATATATATATATATATATATATATATATATAAATTGTACAAGATTATATATCCGATTTATTTTAAAGTCATAACCATATTTGAATAATATATAATACATGTCACACGTCAAAGAAAAAACAAGTTAAAATAATTTCACGCAGAGTCTAGAAAAACAAGTCAGACTGACACCTTGTAATAAAATAAAGAGAAAATACCAAAATGGTGCATCGACTATATCTAAATTCATAAATTGGTCCTTGACTTTTAATTTCAACCAATTAAGTCCTTGACTTTGCAATTTTAACACAATTTGGTCCTCCGTCTATTTGACAGTTTGTTGACCGTGATCTTTGAGGATATACATGTAATTTCACGATTCTGCATCATTCGCCTCGATTCTGCATCATCGCTGGCGGCTGCGCCGTCATTGACGATCTCCAGAAGAACCTGCAGCTCTCGTCGGAGCACATGGAGGCCTCCAGGATGACATTGCACCGTTTCGGAAACACATCGTCTTCTTCGCTTTGGTACGAACTCAACTAGAGTGCAGTCTGAAAATGCAAACGGAACCTTAAAGAACCGACGGTGGACCATGAAATTGCATATGTATCCTCAAAAATCACAGTCAACAAACGGTCAAATAGACGGAGGATCAAATCGTGTTAAAATTACAAAGTTAAGGACTTAATTAGTTGAAATTGAAAATCGATGACCAATTTGTGAATTTAGCTATAGTCGAGGGACCATTTTAGGTATTTACTCTAAAATAAATCCCACAAAAGGACTCTGTGTCATTGAGTCTAAGGGGGGTGTATTCGATCATGACTTTTGTAGAGTTTTAAAGACTTTTAAAATGATAGATTTTAATAAACTTTGATTGACTTTCATAGAGTCATTCAAAACTTTTTAAAACTTTATAAGACTATAAAAGTCTATATAAAAAACATTCATGGACTTTTATCAACTTTTTATTTTAAAAAGTCTACAAAAGTCATTGAAATTCTAAATTGAATACATCCTTACAAACCTTCAATGATTTTGATTCTTATCATTTACAATTTTCTTACAAAAAAAATTTATAATATATCATAAAATTCTTCTTATTAAATAGTTCTTCACCCACATCAACATTCTCAACATTATTATTTTTATCCATAGTATGCTGAGACTTATACGCTAATTACTTATATATATTATTAATATACATAAAAAAACTATTTAATTAGAAATTTATTGAACAATAAAATTTATAATAAAAGACTTGATCAAATAAAATATTTAAAAATATAATTACAAGTTGCATAAAATAAAAAAAATAAAAATCTAATATTAATAATATATATATATATATATATATATATATATATATATATATATATATATATATATATATATATATATATATATATATATATATATATATATATATAATTATATTTGATATATTGCTAGGCATCACGCAAAGAACTATTATTTGCAATAGCAATTTGAGACTGCAAACAACAACAAGGTGCTACTGTTTGCAACCCCAAATTGTTGTTGCGAACAGTAATTCGCTATTTGTAATAACCTTTTGTTAAAAGAAAAGGAAAAATATATATTACGAATATAAACATAAAAAAGAATAAAAATCAAAATATATAATTATTTATATGAATATTATGAAACATATACTAAAATTTGACGATGAAAAATTTGTTTTGTTCATGTATTTAGGGAGAATTAGAGAAAGTTAGGGATAAAAAACTCATAGAAAAAAAATAAAAATCAATATAAACAAGCAATACTGAAGTAAAAATAATATTATTTCGAATTTTTAGATGAAGATTATAAATTTTAGGAGAGGGAAAAATTGGTAGAGTTTAGGTATGAGGAAAATATAGGATAATAAAGAAAAAAATAATTTTATTGAATTTAGATAGGTTTATAGAGTTTAAATATGGAGAAAAAATAGAGTTTAAATAGAGAGAGAAAACATTCAAAGTTGTTAGAAAGAAAATTTGAAATCTTGGGATTGATGGTTGGATTTCAATTATTTATATTTGAGAAGGAAAAGTCTACAAAAGTCTTAAAATTAAAAAAGTCTACAAAAGTTCATAACTTTTTGAATACCACATGACTTTTAAAGACTCTTTAAAAGTCTTAATCGAATACCACATGACTTCTAAAGACTCTTTAAAAATCTTAATTGAATACCGCCTGACTTTTAAAGACTCTCTAAGGGGTCGTTTGGTTCACGAAATGTCAGATTACCTTAGGGAATGTTAGATTGCTGGGAATGTTAGATTACTGGAATGTTAGATTCCTGGTTAAAATTGGAGTATGTAATATAATCATGTTTGGTTTAAGGTTATCTTTTATTCACACACTATAATATCCTTAACATATTTTTATATATTTTAATAAATTTAAAAATTAAAATAAATAAATAAGATAACGGTATCATATATAATTACATGATTTTAAAATATTAACTAAAATATTAAACTTGAGAAACAAAATTATTTTATATGCTAACCTAACATAATAAAAATAAAAAATATATAATTACAAAAATAATTATATATATATGTGTGTGTGTGTGTGTAATAAACTAACATAACCAAGATTATCTTACATAACCTTAGAAATTGAAGGGAATCACATTCCCTTCAAAATCCTATGTGGAGGGAATGTGACATTCCTGGGGAATGTTAGATTCCTTGAGATAATGTGAACCAAACAAAGAAATGTGAGCATTGGAATGTCACATTCCCTTGGTTATGTTATATAACCTGAACCAAACGCCCCCTAAAAGTTTTAATTGAATACCTCCAAACTTTTAAAGTTTATAAAAGTTTTTAAAACTTTATGAAAGTCATGATTGAATACATCCCCTAAGAAATATTAAATGACTCCACTCCAAAAAAAATTTAATTAAAAACTTCTGAGCTAAGTTTAACAACAATAATATAATCCTTCAATCCAAAAAATGAATCTAGAGTATGTATGTCTAGAAAAACAAGTCAATCTGACTTCTCGTAATAAGAGAAATCCCACAAAAAAATGAGTGTCTAGTCTACGCATTAAAAATAAGCCCCACGCCACATTGAGCCTAAGAAATATTCAGTAGAAAAGGTTTCATTTAACACAACAATCCTTAAAAAAAACAAAACAAAAATCAAACTGACTCGAGCTTATAATAAGAGAAATTCCACAAAATTATAGGACTCCACATGAAGTCTTAAGATAAAAATAAAAATAAAAATAAAAAAAGTCTGCACACTTAATTAGCCTAATAAAAATTCAATTCCGAGCCAAGTCGTTTAACAACAATATAATAATCCTGACCTCCGAAAATTAAAATGGCTCCTATATGAATTTAGAAAAAACAATTAAGTTAAACCAACTCCTCCTCCTCCTCCTCGTATAATACTAAAGAACGAATTCAGCATCTATTGACCCACTTGAATCCTACAATTAGACTCTTATATCTTATGATCAACTTAAATTCTCACAATCAATCCGGTCTTAAAAATAAGTCTCGAACCCATTCCTTCACATGAGTTTAAAAGAGATTCAAACTAACCCTCATTTAACACCAACACCAATAATAATCCTCCAAAACTGACCCCGAATATAGAAAATATAATATAATATTAGTGAAAATTGATTAAATAATTACAATGTATGCATAGTAAAGCAACTACGTACTATCTACCAGGAGTGAACTTTGTTGCCACTAGTCATATAAAACCCATCCTTCCTGACCACCCAAGCACACCCAAAAGCCCCAGTTTTCCGGCAATTGAATTTCGCAAAGGGCTCCGTATAAACATCGAAAACTATGTGTTTGTTGCCCCAATCGAAGCTGCAGAAATACAGCGTTCTTCCCAGGAGATGCAGGCTGAATCTCCAGCTGTAATCCGTGCCCTTGGCGATAGTTTGAACCCCCAGATCGTTGTCTTTAGATCGGCAGTGGACTTTCAGTTTGTGCGGGGATTCGAACGGCAGGCGGTTGAAGATGATCACTCCGGCCAGCGGCATCTTCCAAAAACATCTCGCCGGCGACACCACACTCATCAGGATGAGGAAACACACTAATGCTTTTGATGATGATGATCTCTTCCGATGACGACTCATCGTCGATCGATATGATGGATAGATGTGTTTTTTGAATTTGGTTGGAACCTAAATTAGGTTGGAATTGGATAGATGTGTGTTTTTGAATTTGTTTGAAATTAAACCTAAATTAGGTTGGAATTGGGGATTTGTGTTACTTCTGATCTGACGTTTATATAATAGAAGCTGGCTGGGAATTGATCGGAGCTGGAAAATTGGGAATGTCGTCAACCGCAAATATGGGAAATGGCAGGCCGCTCTTTCATGTTTCATGTATGTATGCATGCCACCCTTACTTCACCCATATAACTAATTAACTAATTACTCATGGGATTGGATTATCAATGGTTCTAAACTAAATAAAAAAAACTGTGGTGAAATTTTGATAAATATTTTAAAGATTGTAAAAATTGTGCTGGTCGGCAGCCTAAAATTTTGGAATTGGTGTTTTAGGCGACTGATTAGACAATATTTCGTGTTTTTTTAATGAGTTGTTTTGTACAAAATGACATCATTTTGAACGAAATAATTTTAAATTGTTCAAAATGATACCGTTTTTAGGCTTGTTTTTTTTTTTTTTTATGATTCTATAAATTGATTTGGAAGTTTCGAACTAAGTTGATACTTTGTGGAATTGTGTTTTGATTCTTTAAATGTTTATACAATTTACAATTCTAGATGTTTTTTTAATTACGTAATATTAATATTTTAGTATTAAATAGTTTATAATTATCAAGTCTTACCAAATTAAAAAAAAAAATTAAAAATAAAACGGGCGTCGAGGAAAAGCTTAACGATTTTTTCAACACTGCTATCAAGTATACTATAAAGTGTATTTTGTTGGACGGAGGTCGGTAAATGTAAGTCTAGCACCCAATGGATGAGGAATTGTTAGGTGGAAGCTAGTAGTACGTAAAGGATCAAATTCAACATCCAACGTCTTGAAAATGTGTGGCGGTATAAGAAAATAAAATTGTACACCTTCGCTATGAGCTATAGTTGGTGACGTAGTGGTAAACGTTTGATCCTAATTAATATATTTTGTGGTGTGTTATAATGTGTACAATATATTTTACATATAATTAACTTTATAAAAGTAACCGAATGAGATGTAGACTTACAATGACGGTTGCTGGTTCTGTGGAAACATTGCTGAGGATACTAATCATGTTTTACGCTTTTGCCCACTCGCTGAGGAGGTCTGGAAGTCTGTCCTGCCCCAATTTCACGCAAGCTCGTCCCAACTTCCCCTTGTGCGCTGGCTGGACAAAGGGATTGCCACGAAGAATCACGGAAGGAATCCAGCAAGTAGCAATACCACCTTTGCTGTGACTATATGGTGGCTTTGGAAATGGCGAAACGAAGCCATCTTTAGAGGTACAACCAAGCCCTTGATGATGAAGCGGTCCCTCATTATTTATCAGGTATTGTTGGAAAAAATAGCTAAAAATGGCATAAAATGGCATGTTAAGTGGCTATTTTGTGGTACAATTATCAGTGGGGTCCACTTCCGATTTGGGTCGGGTCAAAGTGGATTCGGATACTTCGTAGTGAGACGAAGAGATTGATATATTGTACGCTCAAAACGGATAATGGGTGAATAAGATATTGATTCTCAAAGTAGACCCATTTGAGTTGGAAAATGAAGGGAAAAAGTGTGCTTTTGTCCCACATTGCTTTGGAATGAAGATTTTCCCCCCTTAAATACAAGAGCTCTTTTGAAGCTTGTAGAATTGTATAGCATAGAGGCTCTCTCGCGCGGGGGGGGGGGGTGCAAATCAAATTCCAACTAGCAGAGATGCTCGTGTGCGCCGCCGGCACCTGGTGGCTAGCCTTGCGGGCAACCGAACCTCTCGTGCTACACGAGAGGTTGTGGTGCACACTCTGCAACAAAGTCCACGAACCCTGCGGCACCTGGTGGCTGGCCTTGCGGGCAACCGAACACACTCTGCAACAAAGTCCACGAACCCTGTACGCTAACGGTCTGGAACCCGAAAGTTCTGAGAGGGGATTGAATTCATCTGTTACGGAATTAATTGTCTATTAATTCCAATTCTGAATTCAATTCCCAAATTCAATTCCCAACCAGGTTGGGAGGCAGAGAGGGTAGAGGCAGCAAGAACACTGCACGAAACTTTGTTTTCCAGCCTCAAAATTCTGCTTCTACTCCTCTTCTTAGCCATACTGTGTTCATAACCGTGTCTTGCTCGCCGGATTCCTTGTTTGAGTGCTCAAACATTGAATCACTAGCAAGTTTTATCCTGGGAAGCCTAGGCCACAACGCTCCTAGCATCTTTGGGAGGTGGCAAATAAGGTTTTAAGGAAAGAGTGCTCACTCGACTCTTGCAAAAACCCAACACCAAACACTAGCCACTTTTCTTCATCTTTTCTTCCCTTCTTTCCAGAAAATAATAGTCAATTTTTATTTGATTATTATTTGTTTTCAACCAACGGACCAACAGGTATCTCAGATAAACTTGTCCTTTGCAAGATCGAATGGTCCATCACAGGTGGAGATCCCATCAGCTTGGAAACTAGTCGCCTGGAACAGGCCCCCACTAGGCATCGTCAAGATGAACTTAGACGGTGCAATCCCTATTCACTCATTTGAAGCAGGCTGTGGTGGAGTTATCAGGAACTCGACTGGTTCTTGGAAGGAAGGTTTCATAGCCAAGTTGGGGTGTTGCACTCCTCTCGAAGCCGAAGCTTGGCCAATTTTGAAAGGTATTCAACTAGCATATGCTCGCGGTTTCAAGGAGGTACTGTTTGAGAGTGATTCAAGTGAAGCTGTGGAGTTTTTGAATAATTCGAGACCCTCCAGTATAGCTGCTCACAACATTCTTGAGGCATGCAAAAGGGCGCTTCGTGCCTTCGACTTCTGGCAGTTATCAGCTATAAACCGTGAGCAGAACCGAGTGGCTGATGCTTTAGCAAAGTTGGCCCTCAAGCATGATTATGGCCTCCTGTCGCTTACTGACCCTCCAGATGAGGTTGGCGCTCTGCTTGAAGACGATAGTGCAGGCCTTCCTTCATGGCAATTTACGCATAGTTTGTTGTAGTTTTACGCTTGTCTTTTTGGGTCTCCCCCTTCCTTCTCATATAAAAAAAAAAAAAAAAAAAAAAAAGTAAATACCCAAAATGGTCCCTTGACTATAGCTAAATTCACAAATTGGTCTTCAACTTTCAATTTCAACCAATTAAGTCCTTAACTTTGCAATTTTAACACGATTTGGTCCTCCGCCTATTTGACAGTTTGTTGACCGTGATCTTTGAGGATATATATGTAATTTCACGGTCCATCGTCAGTTTTTAAGAGAGATGAAGAAAATGCGGGAAAAAAAATGAAAAAAATAGTGGTTTAAATACCGGTTAAGCGTTATTGTTGTGCGAAATGCGCACCATCCATTTTTCTTTTAAGCCTGGGGAATTTAGTATTGTCAAAGCAACCAGGTCGAGCTTAATTTCTGACGGGCTTTTACGGATTGGATCGTCAGGCCCACAGGCTAGGGTTCATGCAACCCTAGCTCGCCTCATGCAGGCAAATTATATTGTGGATTGCGGTCCACAATACATTATGGTCCAAGCATCAAATACGCACTATAGTTTCATTTCAACACAAATAAAATATCATTTTGATATAACTACAGTTTTGCTAGAAAATATACACTCAAATATGTGAAATTGTTATTGAGTTTCATTTTGTATACTGCAGTTTCATTTCAACACAACTACAATTTCATTTCAATTCAATTGCAATTTCATTTGATAATAATATAATAAAAATAATACGTGAGACAGTGTAAGTTTAGATACACTATAGTGTCTGCTGTTTTGGACCATGGTCCACAAAGCTTTGTGGATCCCAATCCACAATATAATTGCTGCCTCATGCGGGTCGCTTTTGTTTTGTTTTTTAATTCATGTCAAATTAAGTAAATAACTTTAAAATTGACAAAGAATAAAAATACTAACATTGCGAATTTGCAATCCAACTTTAAAGTCTAACAATAAGTCAATAAATATATTAAAATCATGTTCAAGTTCAACTTTCAAAGTTTTTAAATTCAAAAGAATGAAGCAAATTAAAAATTTAAAGTTCATAATCACATATCAATACATAAATCATTACACACATCAATACAAAACACAAACATTTGAAGGAAGCAAACAACTCCTTCCTCTCTCTCTCTCTCTCTCTCTCTCTCTCTCTCTCTATATATATATATATATATATATATATATATATATATAGTCTGGCCCGTGGGCTGCGGGTCTTAACAGGCTATGGCCATTAGGACTGCTCTTTTGCGGGCCATCTTTTTTGTGGCCCTAATCAGCTCATCGCGAGGCCAGTTCACGGACTTAGATCCACTTTAACAACCTGATTAGAGATGTTAGAAAAAATTGTCTTTACTACAACATATTTTCACACAGTCTCTCATCTAACTCACCAACAATTTGACAAATAGCGTAACGTCATTAAAGTTGCTCTTAGTTTGCATTGGTGTAGACTGTAGTAATAATGCCATAAGAATATGAAATGTACGTCCATATTGTATAAGGTAATAAGCGAGTCAAATTACTTGAATTTTGACAAATGTTTTTAGTTATTGTCAAGTTGAGCTTAAGTTCGAGTAGTTCAGATAATGAGTTCGTTGAATTTGGGCGTCTTAATACTTGGCTTATTTTAACTATTTATTTTTTATATAATATGATGATATAATATAAATATGATGATATTATAACTATTTAACTATTTATTTTTTATATAATATAAATATGATGATATTACGGAGTACAAATTTAACTAATATATTCATACATTATAAAATGGGAATAGTTGGTATTTAATATTAAGTTTTTTATGATATTTGGTCATAAAATATTTATTATTATAATTTTTTGTGTAAAAAAACTTTAAAAAATTAGGCTATTTTCAATAATATACACACTACTTGGGCTCTGTTTGGCAGAGCTTATAGCTTATTTTAAGCTTTTAATAAGCTAACTCTGTTTAGTAATGTTCTCAAAATAAGCTTGTAGCTTAAAATAACAGGACGTTTGGTTGGAGAGGGAGAATTACGTGGGAAAAGATTTGCAATTCCATGGGAGATGAATTACTGGGAATAAAGTGGGAATTTAAATTCCAATGTTTGGTTGACAGAAATAGAATTACTGGGAATTTCAATTTCAATGTTTGGTATTCATGGAAATTGAAAGGGAATAAGTAGTATAAAGTCCAAAATGTCCATTGTTGTTGTCAAACATTAATTTTAGGTTAAAAAAGGAAGGGGTAATTTTGACTTATCACTATCTTTTTTTCTTCCTAAAATCCCAGGAATTAACAGGGCGTTTGGTTGGAGGAGGGGTAATTATGTGGAAAAGGAATTGTAATTCCATGGGAGTTGAATTACTGGGAATAAAGTGGGAATTTAAATTTCAGTGTTTGGTTGACAGGAATAGAATTACTGAGAATTTCAATTCCAATGTTTGGTATACATGGGAATTGAAAGGGAATAAGTAGTATAAAGTCAAAAATGTCCATTATTATTGTTAGACATTAATTTTAGGTTAAAAAAGGAAGGGGTAATTTTGACTCATCACTATCTTTTTTTCCCAGGAATTAAAATACCAGGGGGGGACATGGGATTTTAATTCCATGAAAATTGGGAAATTGCAATTCCATGGAATTGCAATTCCCTCCAACCAAACTACGGAATTTAATGGCCTTTGGAATTAGGTGGGAATTAAGTAGGAAGGGAATTTAAAATCCATCCAACCAAACGCCCTGTAAAATACCCGGGGGGGACATGGGATTTTAATTCCATGAAAATGGGGGAATTGCAATTCCTTTCAACCAAACAAGGGAATTTTGTGGCATTTGGAATTAGGTGGGAATTAAGTGGGAAGGGAATTTAAAATCCCTTCAACCAAACGCCCTGTAAAAGTTTATTTTGGGGTAGCGTTTCAAAATAAGCTAGTAGTTCCCTAACGTTTTTTTTTTTTTCATATTTGTCCTTATTATTTTAAAGAAATGACATCTTTTACATTTTCCAATTAAAACTCTTTTCTCTTCTCCTTTATCCGCAACATTCACCGCAAATAATAATAATAATAATAATAATATTATTATTATTATTATTATTATTATTATTATTATTATTATTATTATATTGTTGTTGTTATTATTATTATTATTATTATTATTATTATATTATTATTATTATATTGTTATTATTATTACTATTATATTATTATTATTATTATTATTATTATTATTATTATTATTATTATTATTATTAAATGAAGAAGATTCGTAACAATATTGCTACTTCATTATGAGATGCTAGATCATGATTATGCTAATAGTTTTATTCAAAATGTTAATTTTTTAAATACAAAATGTTAAATTTTAATATGTAAACAAACTAATATAAATTTTATGAAGATGTTCTTTTTTGTCTTTTTACATTTATCAACTTATCAAAAAATTAATTTTACCAAACACTTTTAAGCATAACAGCTCTTCAGTTTTCAGATCCTAGCTGATAGCTAACTTTTAAGCCTTCAGCTCCTTTTCAGCTAGGTTTGTCAAATATAGCCTTGGTCATAAAATATTATGCCACATGTCAATTAAAAAATTCTTATATGGCCAACTTTCAAATGCTACCAGTGATCTCTCGTTAAGTCATGTATTTTTTGCTCGAATAACTTGAAGACCGTCAATCATCATTTTTTTTTTCTTTCTTTCAAGATCTATTTTTAAAAGAGAAATGATGTAAACTCTATGGAGAGTCACGTGTTATAATTTTATTGATAATTTGCAAGCATGTGTTGTATTGCTTCTTTCAAAATGGGGTATGAGATTCTATACAATAGTGGTTAGGCATCCCAAGAAGCATGAATACTACTCTCCTATGTTCCATTAAATGGATCAAGAAGGAGTAGATGAGCACACACATATATATATGTACACAACAAAGCTGTGAATATGGCTTTGGCATGTAGTATACAATAATGTATTTTATTTTGAAATCAAGGAACTAACTCTTTGCTATTTATCCACCTATCTTTTCTCTTCTTGACTCACAACTTTCTTTCATTTTTACGGTTGTGAGCTTTAGGCTTGATGTTTAGTTATAATGTAGTTGCATGCATACCTCTTGCCCGAGTATGTCCCGTGTACATCTTGAATTTTGATATATATGTTTGGATACTCCAAAAAAAATATAATAATAAAAAAGATTACTTTTTCTTGACGAGTCTCGTCAAGATCTTCATCATTTTTTTTTTGGCTAATTTAACTACTTTTATTTGGATGCGTTTTATATACGAGCAATTCGGTTTGTTTCTTCTTTCCCATATATACAAAAATAGCTATTAACTAACGTTATTTGGTTGTATTTTATATATATGAGCAATTCGGTTTGTTTCTTCTTTAGTTCTTTCCCCATATATACAAAAATATAAAATCTTACATGGCTATATTATAAAGTGTATAATTGAAAATATGAAAAAAAAAAAATAAAATCCTAAACTCTATTATAGAGTAGTATCTGTTCAAACATACCTTCTTATTGAAACACAAAGAGTACATTGTAGTATCTGTTCAAACATACTTTCTCAACCTAGAGTCAAATTCGATCTTATGATCTATAGGAGATGTCATTATATATTATCTGAACACAAGATGCTTGGCTGCATAGTATCATATACCATTCTAGGGTGTATGACAGAATTCAAAACCCCATTAATTGCGGTTAGAATTTTTTGTATAAAAAATAGAAAAAGTCGAAATGAGAGATGGGGACATAACATTTAGGTATAGATTGGAATATGCAATAATTGCACATGCATCGGACATTAATTTTCTTGGATGCAATCTTTCCTTTACGCAACGCAACTTTGCATTTATAAATAGAAAAAAAAGTGGAGACATGTGAGGTTTGGAGTTAGATCGTGTTTCTATGTTTCTGTGTTCTTTCCTCGTTGTGCTGTTTCACTGACACATTCCTGGCTGGCATCAGGCATATCGGGCCCCACTCCTCCGCGTTGGCCCCACCACCGACGCCGTTTCCTTCGCTCTTAAAAAAATTATTTCCCGCCAGTAAAACATTGCCAATTATATATGTTTGTATGTAAAGATAGAAACAAAAAGGTTAATGGTCCGCACTTTTAACTAACACGTGAAATTTGTAACCATTATTTAAAATTATATATGAAATAAGATATTATTATTATTGATACGTAATAACTCATAAATTATATTCGATAGATAAATCGTATTAAAAAATTATATACAATAAATTTAATTGAAAGGGTGTCAGATAACACATAAGATAAATTTACTATTTGACTCTTTTTAGTATCTATAATATATATATACTTTCTCAACCTATAAAAAACAAACACTTATAATCCCCCAGCATATTGGAGTGACATGGATCCAAGACAATCAATAACTCGTTTTTGTTATTTGTAAATTTCATTCACTTCAACAATCTATTGTGTATTAATCATTTTTATTTCGATTAAAGTAAAGTATTGTACACAAAAAGAATACTAATTTTCTTTAAATACTCATGATTATTATTATTGTAAATCAAACACGCTTAATCGCATAATTCTTTGACTATATGATTATTGTATCTTATTTAAACTCAATTGGTGATAAGTATGTGAACATTAACCATTTAATCACATTCCTAAGATATAACGTCACGTTTCAAATTGAACAGGACTGAAAACTCGACCAATTCGACAGATACCCAACAGAATCAATGCCCTAGCTACCACTAAAGTTCAATCTTTTGATCGCCTAATTAAAATAGTAATAGAGACTGATCACACTATCTGAAAGTGAGGTTTGAGTAAACTTGCCTTAAACCAGCCCCCATAAATGGTGGATCAAACCACAAATTTGAAAGCTTGAACAGTTTTTACTCTGTTAAGGCTGTAATACCTAAACACCGCAAATCTCTCCTTCTCTTTGGCGGCTACTATGGCGTCAAAATCACTCTGACCCACCCTGTTTCTGCACTTGTCGTCCCCATACGCCCATTTTAAATTCTCCATTACAAGGAACCTTTGTCTACCACAGTACAATCTCTCTCTCTCTCTCTCTCTCTCTCTCTCTCTCTCTCTCTCTCTCGTGATATACCCTTTCGGGCATTGCAGCGTTTCTTCCCATTGTGGATAATCCCCAGGAGGAGAGCATAGTTTCTCCCACTCCAAATGTCGCCGCCAAATGCAGTGGTTTCGTTACTTGCGGCGGCATTGCTCTTCCTTGCTGCCCAAGCAGAGGACCCTTACAGATTCTTCACATGGACTGTTACCTATGGCACCATTTACCCTCTTGGTGTTCCCCAACAGGTTGCTTGAATTGCTTCTCCACTTCCCCCTTCTTGTCTTGTTGTTTTCCGAGTAAAAATGGGGTCTTTATTGGATCTGCTTTTGCTGTTTTTGCCCACAAAAGACGAAATTTAGCAATCCTGTGTTTGCCAGTTTTGATGTTAGAAAGTGATGGCTTTTCTTTCTTGTTAGGGTATTCTGATCAATGGGCAGTTCCCAGGTCCGGATATCTTCAGTGTCACCAATGACAATCTCATCATCAGTGTGTTCAACAACCTAGATGAGCCTTTTCTTATTTCTTGGTAAGTCCTAATGTATCTATTCATGATTTATGGGTTGATTAATAGTATTGAATGGAACAATGCTCTCCTTGCCATAGATCTATTGTGTGTGGGTGGGTGGTGGGGTGGAGTGGGGTGGGGGTGGGGGTGTGAGAACATAGCTTCTAGATTTTCTTGCCCACAAAAGGGCATGATAGTGGAGAGATAAATCAGGGTGACTCAACAGCTCGTTAGGTATGAAAACCAATGTCTGGAGCCCACCAGATTGGGTGTAACTTGTCCAAAGTCTATCACTTAGGACCAACTGGGCCACCACGACCCAATCTTGTGTACTTGTCTCTACCACCCAGTAACCAACTGAGCTGCCCGTGTGGGTAGCTTCCAGATTTTCTTGCCCGAAAAAGGACAGGATAGTGGAGGGATAAATCAGGTGACTGAATAGCCCATTAAGGCCATTAGGTAGGAAGACCAATGTTTGGAGCCCACCAAATTGGACGTAACTTGTCCAAAGTCTATCACTTTGGAACCAACTGAGCCGCCACAACTCGATCTTGTGTACTTGTCTATAATCTACCACCCAGTAACCAATTGAGCTGCTCGTGTGGACAATTTCCAGATTTTCTTTGAATCTGTATGGATGCATAGGTGCTTGATAATTGATATGATGTATTGAAAAGTACAGGAATGGAGTCCAGAATAGAAGGAATTCCTATGAAGATGGAGTGTATGGAACCACATGCCCAATTCCTCCTGGGAAAAACTTCACTTACATTCTGCAAATGAAAGATCAAATTGGAAGCTTTTACTACTTCCCATCTCTGGCCTTCCACAAAGCGGCTGGTGGGTTTGGAGGCATTAGGATTCTCAGCAGGCCCCGAATCCCAGTCCCTTTCGACGATCCTGCTGGTGACTGGACTCTGCTCATCGGAGATTGGTACAAGGCTAATCACACGGTATTTTACCTAATCTCTGCATTTACACTGCATTTCTTTATCCAAGTTTATTGAGTAGTTTGAATCAAATACGAAGCCTTATCAATTGCAAGACTGTGAGCTTTTCTATATGCTTTGCCCCCCAATTCTTAACGGGATCAGTTGAAATGATTGATTAGGCTCTTACGACTCAATGTTTATACAGACCTTGAAAGCCCTTCTTGACAGTGGCCACATGTTGCCATTTCCTGATGGAATCCTTATCAATGGTCGTGGCGCTAATGGTGCTTCTTTCGCTGTTGAACAAGGTGAGATATATAGCAAGACGGGTTAGGAATATTTCTAGTCCATAAGAAAAACCACTTGGTGTTGTTGTAACAGAAGTTAACGTTAAACAGGAAAAACATATCGGCTAAGAATATCCAATGTTGGGTTGGAAAATTCTCTCAATTTTCGGATCCAAGGTCACACGATGAAACTCGTGGAAGTAGAGGGAACACACACCGTGCAAACTACTTTCTCCTCGCTTGATGTTCATGTTGGTCAATCCTACTCCGTCCTCGTTACTGCTGATCAGCCTCCCCGAGACTACTACATCACAGTCTCGAGCCGTTTCACCCAAACAATCCTTACTACCACCGCAATTCTTCACTACACCAACTCTAATCTCCAAGTCTCTGGCCCCCCTCCCGGTGGACCTACCATTGAGATCGACTGGTCACTAAACCAGGCTCGTTCCATTAGGTACGTTTATCGTTTAATGTTTTGTATCAATCGTTAAACGGGATGATGTTGTCTTACTAGAACGTGTTTTAAATTTGCCCGTCAGGTCTAATCTTACAGCAAGTGGACCAAGACCGAACCCCCAAGGTTCATACCATTATGGTATGATAAACACCACCCGGACCATTAGGCTTGCAAACTCGGCTGGTCTGTTGCATAACTATCAGAGATATGCTGTCAATAGCGTGTCCTTCGTGCCAGCTGATACTCCGCTCAAGATTGCTGACTACTTCAAGATTCCAGGAGTCTTTCGCGTGGGAAGCATATCGGATAATCCCACTGGCGGTGGTCTTTACCAAGATACATCCGTCTTGGGCACCGACTATAGGGCGTTCATTGAAATCGTGTTTCAGAACGACGAGGACATTCTGCAAAGTTGGCACATTGATGGGTACCAGTTTTGGGTAGTTGGGTAAGCTTAAAGGAACAAATTTATTCATTGCTTCATACCAATTGAGTCATGGTTGATCATACATCTTGCATTTCTTCTTCTTTTTGGACTAATTTCCTTAATGTTTCTACTTAATCTGGTGTCAAATTGCAGAATGGATGGAGGGCAATGGTCACCAGCCAGTAGAAATGAGTACAATCTTCGCGATGCAGTTGCACGTTCTACAGCCCAGGTAAGATCAAATTAAAGTTGCTTGGGGGCAACCCCAACCAAGTTGGTCGAGCGAGCTGTCGAAACCTGCCAAAATATGAGCCTAAGGGAAGTCTGCCCGGCCCGGCCGGGGGTCTTGGCGGGGCCCGCCAATTTTTAAGAGTTTTAAATTTAAAAAAAAAAATTAAAAAGTAATAATAACTAATAAATAATCAAATACATAATGTGTTAATCCATAAGTTAATAACAAATCATTTATACAATGTATTAATTTTTTAAAACTTATATATATATATATATATATATATATATATATATATATATATATATATATATATATATATATATATATATATATATATATACCCGCCAAAGCCCGCGTGTTAGGCGGGGGCGTGCTAAAAAGCCCGCCAAAATACAGGTCCAAAATATCAAAGCCCGCATTGCCCTTTTTGCAGGGTGGGACGGGCTAAGCCTGTTTTGACGGCTCTCGAGTTGTTGAATCAAAAGGTTATAAATTCGACTCCCAGTGGGAACAACCTAGTGCCATTTCTGGTTTAAGCTAATTAGCTATGGGCAATCTAGGTCCTTGTAGTCCTTTACTGGCTAGGATCACAAGACGGGGTTTAAAGCTGCTACTACGAGGCTGCCAGGTTGTATGCCCAACTATACAAATCTCTTATTGTTTGCAAATTTGCAGGTGTATCCAAGATCATGGACTGCCATCTACATGGCTCTTGACAACGTCGGTATGTGGAACGTTAGATCCGAGTTTTGGGCACGACAATACCTCGGGCAACAGTTCTACTTGAGGGTTTACACGACCTCAACCTCGCTTAGGGATGAATACCCCATCCCGAAGAACGCCCTCCTTTGTGGCAGGGCAGCCGGGCGCCGCACAAGGCCCCTCTAAGCTTGAACTTCATTCTTCTCCTTCTGCTGCTGCTGCTAGGAAAAGTTTGCCTAGCTTAGGTTACTTGAGAGTGTAGAGTTTTACACATAGTTTAGGTAAAAGAGAAGTGTTTTACTTCTTGTTGTTATGCATTTGTTGCAGTCACAAATAGGATCTCATCTATTAATGACCTTATCTCAAGGTCACATTCTTTCAGTTTCCACTCAAAACAATTTCATTGGGTTCTTCATAACTTCAGTTTCTGGTTCTGTATTGCAACAATATAAATATATTGTTCACATTACTGATGTTTTTGTTTGAAGAGTTCTTCCTTTGTTTGAGTAGTGTTTGTTGGTAATGGGTCGGTCCAGACCAAGATCTTTTAATCTTTTGGGTTATGGTTCGGATCATATCAAGATTTTTATTGTTTGGGTTACTCTAACCCGACCCATAATGTAACTGAACTAGCTTAATCCAATTTAAATAATAACCAAAGATGACGATAACGGGTCAACTTGCTAATTGACACCACTTAGAGGGAGAGAGAATTATGTATGAGATAAGAATTCAAATAATATCTTCTGAGTAAAAATCTCTAATCAAAATGAATCATTTTTCGTTTAAACCAAAATGAATAGTTTTCATTGATTTCATTCCAGATCTAATTCCCTATTCCCTAACCTTCTTCTCCGCAAAAACACATTCAGATTTTCACTATTCCCCTGCTGCAACAGCCTTGTCAATTTCTCCCTCATGTTCACGAAGTAGCTTCCACTGATCCAGGGTTAATGAAATGCCTTTTTTGCCAGGCATTTGCTTTCCATCTTCCACATAGAACTCGCGGATATCAACCACGACCTTCCCCTTACAGTTCCTCACAGCCACTCTACGGTTCTTCGAAATCTCACAGACGAGGATACCGTCGGATTCATCGGAATCGTCGGTCTTTGAAGTCTTCTTGGGACCGTCGCTGCCTTCAGAGGCAAAGCCGTCGTCTTCCTTCAGATTTCCGAAGCTTTTAGACATTTTCTTTCTCTAGTTTCTGGTAGGGAGGGACTCGCAATTTCGCTGTTGTCCGCCCAGAGAAACCACCAAGAGTTGAATAAAAGTGATAATTGAGACGGAGAGTTGGAGAATGGAGAAACGGCAGAAATCGCAGAAGGGAGAAATTAGGATTTAGGGCTGGGCGGCTGCGCTTTTTAGTTTCAATATTTGGGCGGGTTTATAAAACTCGAGCCCGCCATGTCTTTTTGGCAGGACGAGACGGGCTAAGCCCGTTTCGACGGTTCTTTCAAAGACAAGAAATCTATAGTAAAATTAACTCAATTATAAAAGTCATTTTCTGAGTTTCTTATCGGACTATATATTAAATTCTTATATGCCAATGATGATTGAGCGGCTTACATTTTGTATTTTAAGAACACTATTCTACTTCATTTTGTATGTCTAGTTACTACCAAACACAAAAAATGATTGTGAGAGCATCCATAATAGTGGAGTTTTTGTAAGTGTGATTAAGAAAGATAATAGGGGTGGCAAAATAAAAAATAGAAAAAAAAATGATTTTAAAAACAAAAAATAATAAAATATAGAAATTCAGGTACACCTGACGCGTCCAATGGGTATGTGCGCCCAACGCGCCCAACCTCCATCTTTTGTTTTCACCTTGTCATTTCAAATTACTGTTCCAATATCCCAAGCTTGCAGATGATTCCAATTTGTCAGATTTTTTAATGTCATAATCCCCAAAAAACCACTGATATCGATGCTCTGAGTCTAATTACTATTATTAAACATGTGCGCGTAACTAATAGCATTTTAAAAAGGTTTATTGGTGAAAAAAAAAATTCAAATTTTATAGTACGGAGTACTTCATAACAATTATATCAAAACTGTTAAAATAAAAACAGAATGGACAGAAAAGATAGAAAAGGGGAATATCCTATTCATTTTGTTTTTATTTTAACACGTTATCAGTAACTATTGTAATAGTCAATTTGTATAGATTATATATATGATGTATAAGGATATAATGAGATGAATGAATAAGATATTCCCCTTTTCTCTCTTTTCTCTCCATTCAGCTTTTATTTTAATACAAACATTAAAATTTTGATAATTTAATAGCAAATATTTGTATTAGATAAAATTTTATTTTTTGTCCCCTAACTGTTATACATAAATCACATTTAGTTTTTGACTATTAAAATTTTTTAATTTGGTGCATGACTATTGATACTGCTAATTCTACGCAAGCAATATAAAATAAACCCGAGACCAATTAAAGCAAGTAAAAGACTTTATTGAACACGGTAAAGGCCCTAAGTACAATCTACTTGGTTGCCCTGAGTACCGACTGACTGCGGTCGGGATTCTCTAGTAACAACCTATCGATCGTCCAAAACTCCCCTACACTGTAGCTACCGTGGGTATTTATAGCCGCTGCGCCGGGGACAAGGATCCGGCCGCTCCTCAAACGACCGCTATCTGAGCAGACGATTTGACCCGGCCGCTCCTCAAACGACCGCTGCCCTACCCTGTCCAGCCCCCCACTGTCGGACGCACTTAAGTATAAGGGCGTGTGACAGTGTAATTAGCGGTCGGGCGAACTCAGGGCGTGGTCTCCTACCTTTAGGTGGGCCGTTTAGGACGGGATATTCCCGACCTTGGGCCCAAACTGTAGTTCCCGACTTGCATGCCTTGGAACTTTTTTTCGACTTGGGCTTGCTTCAATTGTTGTTTGGCCGTCACGATCGGGGGTTCCCGGATGCCGGCCTGAACTGTGATTCCCGGCCTTTGGGCCTTCGAATATTTCTTCAAGCACTGTTTGGCCGCCTCGATCGGGGGATTCCCGAGTGTGGGCCTAAACACTTCACGAGGGCCCGCTGCTTGGGGTGTTCCCGAGCATGGGACCTGTGGCACTCCCTTCCTATTTAGCCCCCACTGTGCGCGCCGGGGCGCGAGTGAGTGCAGTACCGGAGAGGAGCGAGCGGATCGGGGAATATGCCGTGGCGTCGATCTCCCCGATCGGCGATATGACCGGTCGATCGCCTCGCCCGGTCAAGGGTCAGTCGGCTATTAGAGCCGCAGAATTGAGGCTATTAGAGCCCGAGGGCACACCCCTATCGGTGGAGACCGAGGGAGAGGAGTGACGACTTATTAGATTCGGATTGTATATCTATTTTAATAATACTAATAATTACTAGACATTATTATTTATTTTTCTAATTTCTTGTTGCGCCACATTTTTTATCCAATTATATTCCAAATAATTGAATTGCCTTCTTGAATTAACAGAGTGTTTGGTTGGGAGGAAGGAATTAGGGAGGAAAGAAATTGTAATTCGGTTTGTGCGGTGTTTTACCGCTTTTTTAGCGATGTCTTTCCCCAATCGGCAACCCGTCGTATCCACTCCCTTGTGCTGACGATTCTTGCGCCTGCGGGAGTGGGGGCTGCGCTGGCCCGAGTAGCGCGTTCGTCGGTCAGAACGGTCGAAACACGTTCTTTTCGCCCGATTGCTTTTTAGTTGCGCCCGAGCAGCGTTTGCGCCTGAGTAAGTTCAATCTCTCGGTCGTAAGTAAGTCCGACCCCGTAGTTGGTTAGATGGATCTCTAGATCCCAGTCGTGCCCGGCAATCCGGTCAATGACCCGGTTGGGCTCGACCTGTCGCAAGTTGCGTTGCAAGTCCGACCACTGGGTCGGGCGCTCCCTTTCGGTCCACTAGACTGTGTTTAGCGTTGTACTCTTTTTCCCTTGGCTAAAGTTTTTCCCACTGGGTTTTTTGATTAGCCTAAGGTTTTTTAACGAGGCAACCGGCATATGTCACGGACCGTGTAACCCGTTTTTCCAGCCCGAACCCTTCCTCGCTAACTCGTCGTCAGAGCACGGGCTGTGGGGGCTTTATGGTAAGTTATGTACCCCGGGTCCGTGTATAGTCGGGTCGGGTCGAGCGGTTCGGGTCTTGACCTACGGGATGGGGTCAAAGGTGACGGGTCAAACCCGCCACCTCGGTGGCCCTATAAAAAGGGCTTCTAGCCCTCTAAGGAAAGGGGGAGGCTAATTCTAGGCTATCTCTCGACCCTCTCTCTCTAAGCTCTTTCTCTCTTCCCTCTCTCTATATTTTACGCAGAAGAGCAGATGAATAAAAAGGGAATTTGAGCTATTTTCTTGTGTTCTTCCTCTTGTTCATACATATATTTTATGTATTTAGTACATACAACCGATATCCGGGAGAATTAGTACTATCAACTATGTAATTTGTATCACATTTGATCCTGTCATCTAATTTTTCAGCCAACTATTGTTGGAAGTGCTCCTTCCGAAATGAGAACTACATTTGCTTCTTCCGGAATGGGCACTTCTGGAGGAGCCTGCCGTCCAATTTTATAGCCAACTATTGTCGGAAGTGCTCTTTCTGGAAGGAGCACTGCATTTGCTTCTTCCGGAATGAGCATTTCTGGCAATAGTTGCCCGAGAAATTTGACATGACCAACATGTAATACAAATTACATAGTCATGCACCTAATTATAAAATTTTAATAGTCAAGTACCAAATGTGATTCATGTATAATAGTCAAAGGACTAAAAGTGAAATTAATTCTTTGTATTATCACTTATCAAATCTAGTTATATTATTTGACCATTAGCCAACTACCCGACCATGGTCCATGCAATAATGATTGCATGTAATGTGATGGCATTCTGATTACCATTTTAAATGGGTGGTCATAGATTCGAACCTCGTTGGTGGAAACTTAAATTCTTAGAGACTGAAATATTTAAAAAAGTATAAAACATATACTACCTTGTAAAAAAAAAAAAAAAAAGAAAAAAACCTTTAATCCTTTGAGATTTTAGGTGGGTGTAATATTTGAACTTGATTTTATATATGTGAAATAATTTGTGGATTTAATTTGTATTTTTCCTATATAAAGTATAGACTTTTATTATACATTATGTTTATGAAAGTAATGTTGAAGTGTAAACTTTTTTTATAAATATTTTGCATGTCAATATATAGTTAACTTAGAAAAGTATAATAAAATATTCTAATTAGATATAACTGTCAATATAAAAAAATTGGCATTTAATTATCTAAATTTTAAAATATAAATTAAATATTATGGCGTAATCGTATATAATTATTACAAGTAAAAATAAAATAAAATAAAATAAAATAAAAAACCTTCGTACCAATTAGCTTTAAAAAAAAAAATCAATAAACCTAGCTGTTTGGAAAAATAACTTCAAGCCCACCGGTACCAGGGTGCATGTAGGTGGCTACCACGACCAATGGGAGCCGCCAGTACTGATTGAAATGTAACGTGGATGCAGCGATTTTTGGCGACGGCGTGGGCTTCGGGGCGGCAGTTCGCCATTATGATGGTCGGTTAGTGGATGCCAAGAGTGGCCGGCTTGCTAGCGATTGTGATCCCTTTTGATGGCGGAAGCTTTGGCGGTCAAAGAAATACTAACTTGGCTAAGAGGACTTGGTCGTGATTGTTTGATTATTGAAACAGATTATTTGAACTTCTATAATGCTTTTAATTCATGCATTTTAGATTTTTCGTACCTAGGTTTAATTATTAAGCAATGCATGTTAATTGTTAAAGACATCATGAACAGTGTTATTCGCCATGTCAAGAGATCAGCGAATCAAGTGGCTCATATATTAGCACGAACAACTGATTCATCATCTGACTTGAAATCATGGTCTCTTATCTCATCTATTTGTATTTCTGCTCTTTTTAATATTAATGATATTTCGTTTGCTTTAAAAAATAAACACTAAATAAACTTTACTCGACAAGCACGTGATTACTTTTTTACAAGTTACTCCGTACAATGGAAAATATTATCCAATTTGTCAAAGACGCAAGACGCAACTATAAAATCAAATACAGTACCAAATATGGTTCAATGCCATAGATCATACTCAACCTTGGAAACGCTTCAATGGCGACCACCGGCAGCTCGGAGTTCGATCCTCAGAAGATAATTACCTACAAATTTCCCGAGGTAGGTATCTATTCCTTTTTGTTCGCCTTCACTCCCGCCCCATACTAATTCCGTTCATTTTCTGATCAATTTCGGTTTTCCAGACGACCTATACTTACAGCGAGAGGTACGCCCCTAACTAGCTCCTTCGCAGTTCATTTTAATTTTTAATTTTTCATTTTTCAATGTATAGTTTGGTATATTTACGTGAATTTCACTCAATTATTTGAGCTGACTAAACGATTTATCGGTTTGGGAGAGCTACTGATGAAAAAAGCGTTTCTGTTTGTGACGATTTAGAGATGCTGCGCTGTATGCGCTGGGTGTTGGAGCATGCGCAAAGGACGCCGTAGATGATAAAGAGCTCAAATTTGTTTATCATCCCGATGGTCAGCAATCTATCCAGGTCGATTACCATCCGTTTGATGAAATTACGTTTAGAGGAAACTCTGTGTGTGTGCGTGAGTTGAAAGAGGGTGGGGGTGACAGTTTTACAATCGTTATATGGTGCATCAGGGTCCACAGTACTATGGACCCTGGTCCAATACACATAATTTGACTTCCTTAATGTAATTCATGTTCATAATGCATATAATTTATGTTCATAATATACAAACACATAAACATGATATAATGAACATGAATTCTGTACATTATGAATATGAATTATCTGTATTATGTTAAGTGTTTATGTGTCTTCATTATATCCTGTTTATGTGTATCTGTATTATGAACATAAATTCTGTACATTATGAACATGAATTCTGTACATTATGAAGTCAAATTATGTGTATTGGACTAGGGTCCATAGTGCACTGTGGACCAGATATAAATTGCAGACAGTTTAGCGATGAATTCCCACAATTGGTGAAGTTTTGGAAAAAAAAAAGTGAAATTCTACTGTTGCTGCTATGCAGATTCAAATTATGCAGCTAAAGCTTTACAAAATAATGATTAGTAGTACTTATTGGCTATTTTTTTTGGTTCTCTGCTGACATTGTAGGTCTTACCGACTTTTGCGGCTTTATTTTCTATTGGATATAGTGAGGCAATTGCGGAGCTACCAGGCTTGCAGTAAGTCTTGAACTTCTGAAGCAAGGGGATAGCTGTGTGTTAATTGATTTTGCTACGTATTTGTTTCTGTGTATACCATTTCTTAGGTGGTAGTACTGTTCTTCTAGCTGATACTTGGCAGTGTTGCCCTTTTTATCTAGATATGATCCACGCCTTCTGTTGCATGGACAACAATATATTGAAATCTACAAGCCGCTTCCTTCTAGTGCTTCTGTAAGATCCCGAACTCAAGGACTTATATATTTGTCTAGTGGAATTATGATTCATGTTTAATTTAGTGCTAAGAGCATCTACATCAATGAATAATAGAGAGTTAATGTCAGAATAAATCACTTGGGTAGAGTTATTCACAAGTGTGGGATGGGGTTATTAGATGAAATAATCCTCCTGCAAATTACAAAATAATGTCAGAAAATAAAGGAAAAGAAAAAGTGAAAGAAAGAAACGCTGTGCGCGTTTCGCGCACAGCGTGGCCATAACCCGGGCGCGTCAGGCGCACCTGACTTCATATATATATATATATATATATATATATATATATATATATATATTTTAATTCAGTTTTGTTTTATTTTATTTTTTTTCTCTCCCCTCCCACCTTCTCTTTCCTAATCACTCTTACATTATCCCCACATTCTTCCCAACTAATGTGGATGCTCTAAGTAGTATTGAAGTGCAATGCTTTCTTAAAATTTTCCCATCAATCATGATACTAAAAGGATTCTGCTGAATTTGTGAAAAATAGACTTGATAGATACTGGTTTAAGGCATAGATATTTACATCCTGTATTAAGTTTCTGGAGTTTATCTTAACATAGACATTTCAATCCTTGCAAATGTTGTTTTGTTATTGCAGCCCTATGACACACATGTGAGACATAATTGAGGACAAAGAAGTCTTCCAAAGACTGATGATTAGATATAACACTAATATGAAATGTTTTGTATGATTTTGTTAAAAAATAACATATTACAGTTGCTTTCCATTCTTTCAGTTATATAAAAAAAAATGGTTATTTTCCTTTTCTTTCATTATTTCATCAAGTCATAGTAATTTCTTCTCAATAATGTTGATGCAGATAATAAATAGAGCAAGCATTGCTGGACTGCATGATAAAGGTCTGGTTTGAAAATGTAGACATGAATTGTTAGTTTGTGTTACTGTGAGTAAGGGGGTTGTATTCAATCTGGATTTTTATTGAATTTTAAAAACTTTGAAAGTCTGGTGGTATTCAATCTAGACTTTTAAAGAGTCTTTAAAAGTCTATTAGTATTCGATTTAGACTTTTATTAAAAGTTTGTGGGTATTTGATTAAAACTTCAAATCTTCTAATTATCAAGAATGGTGAGTGAGAAAGAAAACCCAAAATTGCTAAATACAAAATTAATTTGTTGCTTCAGAGTAGTACATGCAATAAGTGATCTATATTTGGGAGTCAAAACTCTTTTTTTTTTTAGGTTTTGATTTAGCACAAGTCAATCTCATTCAGATTTCATTTTGATTGTGCGAAGTCTATGTATTTTGAAGCTTCACATAATCATATTTCAAGTTGGAATGCATTTTAAGGATTTAATGAGTCTGACAGAAAACAGGAAATTTATTCATCCATTTTGACAGGTAAAGCAACTGTTCTAGAAGTTGAAATCAAGAGCTATGAGAAAGTGTCGGGTGATCTTCTGTGTATGAACAGGTAGGTTCCTTTTATATGACTTATGTACTGCTTTGTTATTATGTAATATGTAGTTCTTACATTGATCACATTGCAGGATGGCTGTTTTTCTGAGGGGTGCTGGTGGATTCTCAAAGTCTTCCAATCCTTATTCATATTCCAAATATCCAGCAAATCAGACTGCTGCTCCTAAAATCCCCAAAGGCCAGCCATTTGTTGTTTTTGAGGATTATTTGCAGCCACCACAGGCATGTGAAATAAAACAAATAAACCATTTTGGAACTTATCATTGGTTAATCTTACCGTCTTATAGCTTCTTAATGCATTGTTTTCCTGTCATCTTATCATTTGCATACTTGCAATCAATAGATTTTATCTCCTTGAAATTGTAAAACCTGATGCCCTGATGGGGATGAGGCATGTTTTGAGTTTACTTAGTCTTGCTGATTAAATATGACATTTGAAACTTGTTGCCATGATGCAGGCATTGCTTTACAGGCTCTCCGGTGATTACAATCCCCTGCATTCTGATCCCAGGGTTGCAGATGTTGCAGGGTAATATGTTTTTTTTTACTAAAAAGCTATCTCCCAGAAGCAGTGGTAGAATCAAGTTATACTGTGCTTTAATGGACTTGAAACAAACTATTCACTGTTTCCTACTTCAGTGCAAATAAAGAAAAAAGAATAAAACTTTTATTAGGCTTGTGTCACTGAACCTCCTTGGTCACATTTTAATTTCATTGTCAACACCCTCCACGATAGTGTTTTTAATTTGTTTTATTATGCCATCTGGCTCATTAAAAGTGAATGCAACTATGCAAGGGAAATTGATCCATTTCCCCTGAGCTATTAAAGCAACATGGCATAAAATCTTTCTTAGATGTTCTAACTTCTAAATGACACTAAATGCTTAACGGTTTAGAAAATAGAAACTCTATGGTGTATTGGGGCCTGAAATAAATAAAGGATAATGTTGTCCTCTTCTATTGTATTCTGCAAAATGTACATGTAAATCACTAGCCCTTTGTAGTCCACAGGTTATTTTCGTTAGTTATATATTTCCATTTCTAAAATTTAATTAAACCTGATATACTCTGCACATCAGGGAAAAGGAATTCTTTTGGCAATAAGTTGATTTATTTAAACAGTTGTCCTTATGGATCTTTTTTCCTTCCAATGGCTACAGATTTGTCAGTAAATTACATTTATCAGTCTTTGGCCATAGACTTACTAGAATGTTATTTTGTTTTTTTTGTTTTTTTTTTTTTTTTTAAATTTATCACTTAATCCCAGGTTTTCTCGCCCAATTTTGCATGGGCTGTGCACACTTGGATTTGCTGTCAGGGCTATCATAAAATGCATCTGCAAAGGGGACCCAAACATGATAAAGAACATATCTGGCAGATTTTTATTACATGTGTATCCGGGTGAAACCTTAATGACAGAAATGTGGCTGGAAGGTTTAAGGTAAGTTACAAGATATGTTTACCAAGTTGGATTTATATTTATGTATATACTCCCTAGTTCCAAAACTTAATCAGAGTAAAATATGCAGGGTTATATATCAGGTGAAGGTGAAAGAACGTAAAAGGGCAGTGCTTGCTGGTTTTGTAGATCTTCACCGTTTAAGTTCATCTCTGTGACTGGAGGTTCTGTTTTTTCCTCTATGAAATATGTTATATGTGTAACTGGAGGAGTTTGTTTCTCCTCTATCATTCCATGTTTATTATCCTGAATAAGGCACATCAGATGATGTTTCCAAAATGTTGCTCTCGTTTATGCTAGCTTATGTGCATTGGTTATAATTTGAACCAACCGAACTATTCTTCCTCAACAACCGAGAAATTGGTCTGTGTTACAGGTTGCAGAGGAAATGAACCACACATCACACTCAGTGTATTCCCTTAAGTTTTGCACTGGTTTATTATTTATGCTAGCTTATATGCATTAAACGTGCACGAAGATAATATGAAGTTATTCCCTTAAGTTTTGCGTTTGTTTATCATTTATGCTTGCAAGTTTTCCCTCTTTACTACTGATAAATTTATGTTGAAGCCGCTTATGGATAGTTCACTTGATTGTTCCCCTACTAGTGGTTGCTGACATCTCAGGTTGAATGCTTGAAGCTTTGCACATCTTGTACTTGTTGAGTATTAGCAAGAAATAATTGACTTTTCTATATTGCCAATGGTATCTCATGTGAACCTTTTCATTAATTTGTTTTACCAATCATCATGATAATCATTCCAATTCTATTATACTACCAAACAACAATAAAATTTGGACAATTGTCCTTAGCTTCACAACTTTTTATAGTAGAGAGACTAAATTAAACAGAACAAATGTACACGGATTAAATTGAACAAAACACTATAGTACAATGGCTTCATAGATACTTTGACTGCAAAATACTTTCACTAAAATCCATTACCATTATTAAGTATTTGATTTTTATTCTGATTTTGATTATTATGTTTGAACCAAACACACCCATAGGCCCTAGCATGACAAATTATACTAGGGTGAGCAATTCGGTTCGGTTTATTTGAACCGAACGGTTCAAGATTCTTGTAAACCGAACAGTTTGATACCGAATCGAACAAAAAATGAACGGTTTGACATTATTTTATAGAAATTAATGAGTAAGTTAAAAATAATAAATAGTTAACGGAATATTCGGTTACTAAAGTTTATACTTTATACTAACGGAATTTAGAGTTATTTAAGGGAATCAAATAATATAATAGAGGGTAAATAAGAAAAAATTATTAAATAATACGGAGTACTAAAATAAAAATAATATGAACCATTCATTTTAAGAAACAACACTTAAAATATAAACATGTGGACATATATCGTGCACACACCTAAATGCGGGTATGCACACATCCGTGAACAACAGTGCACACATCCAATGTATGTGTGAATCCACAGTATTTGGGCTGGCGTGCATACATCCATGAACAACAGTGCACACAGGCAGGCATGCACCCATGAACAACAGTGCACACAGACAGGCATCACAGAAAATTAAAAAAAAAACTAATCACAACCTTAGATACCCAAAATCCAACGATCCAGAAATGTTCACACTTTTGTATTATATATATAAACCTTGTTTTTACCTGAATGTAATTCTATATATTATATATATATATATATATAATTTATTTTTTTTATTTCATTTGGTCACCGAGAGCTGAAGTCGACGAGAACCGAGAGGCAAGAGCTGAAGTCTTTCCGCCAGTCACGCCACCGGCCAACGCTGCTCTCGGCTGGTCACCCCACCGCCCACCGCTGCTCTCCGCCAGTCCGACGCTCCTACCAGCGCCACCCCCCACCCCCACGACTGACTGTCTCGCAACTGCCCAGGTTCAATTCCGATCCCTTCTTAGTTCAATTCTCCTAATTCTCCTCTGCTCACGGTTCATGTTCACCTAATTTTGCCCTAAATCCTAATTTGCCCTAATTATTGAAAATTGGTTTTTGAATTGCTAAATGAGGTTCCTTGGATTTAATTTGAGTGTTGTGCGAAAAGGGGTGGTTCGTTAATCGTTTTGTCAGGGTTGGACAAAAACTCTTGTCTTTCTGTTTCAGTTTTGTAAACTTGAACTACTTTTGATAATTAGTGTTTGGTCACGGATTTAAGTTATGTGTATCTGCAGGAAGAAAGGCTGTCCCTTTTGTCATTACTTTTAGTTGAATTCCAATTTCCATGTGTTTCCTGTGATCTTAACATGTTTATCTTTTTGTTTTTAATTTTTTTTAATATTATTTTTAAAAGTTAAACTGTGCAATATGATCCCATAGGAAGTTAATAAGTACCTGATATAGATGAACTTGCCTTCCTCTTGCCTTGTGGATCCTTTTAATTTCACCATTACTGTCTAGTGTAACACTAAACATTAAGTGTTGTTTGTGAACTCTTATCTGATATCTAAAATGTGAGTGTTGAACTCTAAAACCTGGACTTCTAACTTATATGTAAGACATACTAAAACTTGCACTTCTAACTTGTATATAAGACATATAGTTAGTTGTAGATGGTGACTTTTACGCAACCGGATGAGCTTCGATGATTTATTAAATGATTGCTTATCGTATGTTGAAAAAGATATTTTTGATCAAGTTTCAAATGAAGCAGTTTTACAACGATTTCAAAATATGAAAGAGCGTAGAGGAATATTATCCCGTAGTTCATCATAAATCTTGTATTGTAATTTATAATGTATTTTGTATTTCAACTATCTTATCTGTATTTGAACCTTGTATTTGGAACATTTTTGAATTTATTTTACCTTTGCTTCTTTGCTCCACTGAAGAAAAATCCTGGGTCCGCCACGGATCATCACCGTTTAAAAAAATATACATAAAAGTCTAATTAGTGATAAATAAATGTCTAAGTAATATTTTAATTCAATTACACTTTTTTTTCCAATATAAACTCAATTTCACTATCCCACTATAGGCTAGGTGTGAGTGTACTAATTTTTTTTTATTTTTTATTTTTAAAGAGAAATGTTATAGAACTATTTTTGACATTTTTCTAAAATAAAAATATTATATTATATTATACTTTCAATAAATATTATCTAAAAACATAATAAGTCTCAATCAAAGTTATATCCCTCATTTATGTCCATGTTTTTAATGCTAATCATTTTGTACATTATGCTTTTAGAGTTGTACTATATTTTTTTTTTGAACAAAAATACCCCTACTGTTATAACTTCCGTTATCTTTTCCATTATTGTTACCATGCACATGCATCCACCATATATTTTCTTATATTCTTTAATGATAATAATATGTGTAGACATTATATATTGGATTATTATAATTAACAAAAAAAAAAAATTGATTTCATATAGATTTTAATTAGTAGGGTTTTGTTAGTTATTTTAAAAGATATAAATATTGGGCATCGCGCATAAAAAAGACTAGTATTATTTATAAAAATTAAAAAAAAATCGAATAGTATATATAGCATCATATTCTTGTGTTCAAATCTTAATTGTAAATTTTCAGTCGACGAATTCGTAGGTTTGGAATTTACTCTTTCAAGTTTTGGAATTCGAGTGGTAGCAATTCCAGCTTTTTCGGAAGTTCCATTACGCCGCCCACCAGAATCCGCCGGAAAAGTTCACCGCCGTCACCCACCCAGCGATGTGGACGAAAAAGCTTCGGACTTTTGTCCCATTTTCGAGAACCCTCTTTTATCGAGACCCACCTCTTTCTTCAACCTTACTTCCAATCCCTTTTCATTCCCTCGCACAAATTACAATCCCCTTTTCTTCTTCTTCTTTCCATATAGAAGAAGCTTCTCCTTCTAGTGTGTTCCAATCCCAAAGGCTTCATTTGATCGGAGAAAACATATGTTTCCAAAGTGGGAAATTGTTTTGCTCAGTATCTGCGGAGAAATTTAAGTGCTGGAACTGTAACTCTGTGGGAACAAGTAACCAGCCATTTCTTGTCTGTGAAGCTTGTGGCAGCGTTCAACATGTAGATGAATCCATTGATTATTTCCAAATTTTTGGATTGTAAGTTTTTTCTTTTTTAAAAATATTTTTTTGCTGTTCTATTTGGAACTATGAATAAATGATTATAAAAAATTTGGTCTTTTAAATTCACTAACAATGCAGTGTTATTAATGGTATTGTAAGAATTTTGTGTCCCTTCTAATTGAAATCTGAAATGGGTATTTGTTGGAGCTACAGCTGGTGAGTTTCCATGGATGATCCTGAGTTGGGAAAGAAGTGAATTGATTTATATATATATATATATATATATATATATATATATATATATATATATATATATATATATATATATAGTAGGGTGTGCAGCCCTAGCTGACACAAAGGACCAACTTAAACCAGCATAGGTTACCCATAGCTGACGCTCAAACTAAGAAGGCCAATGAGCTGCTCCAGTTGTGAGTCACACACACACACACACACACACACACACACACACACACACATATATATATATATATATATATATATATATATATATATAGAGCAACGAGTAAATGAGTAGGGTGTGCAGCCCTAGCTGACAAAGGACCAATTTAAACCAGCATAGGTTACCCATAGCTGACGCTCAAACTAAGAAGGACAATGAGCCGCTCCAGCTGTGAGTCAAACTTGTAACCATGGGTTACTGAGTCAACACCCTAACCAATTTGGCTGGGGTTGAAAATTGAGAGTGGATGTGTTGTTTTAATTTTCCATTAGGCAAGATTAATGTAATGTTTAAAGTGACCTTTTATCATGGGTACATTGCAGTGGAAGGGTTGGAACTTTAATTGTCTTCCTAGTTGTTAATTTGTGCTAAAATATGTCGGTTGTATCTTCATAGGGAGAAAAAATATGATATCGAGGGGGAGAATCTCGAGCGTAAGTACAAAGACTGGCAGAGGAAGCTGCATCCTGACTTAGTTCATACAAAATCCGAGGTTCCTAACAACGTTTATTTTGGTGTTTTAACTCTGCGGTTTAGTTGTTTCTGTTGATTCTGATTCTTTTTTTCGTTTGGTGGTTGATCTTGGTAATATGGCTTTCTGTTAGAAAGAAAAGGAGTTTGCTGCTGAACAGTCTGCTCGTGTAATTGATGCATATCGAACACTCACAGACTCGTTGTCAAGAGCAATATATATTGTAGGTTTACAATTTACGTAATTTTCTGTTCTCTTTCATTATTCTAATTTAGATCCTTTTTACATGCCTCTCGACTTAACATTAATGTTTGCTTGGATTAAGGATGTTGGATAAGTTCTTTATCGTTATCAGTACTATAAAGCCATAGTTATTGTCATCCTTTAGTTTACGCTGGATCTGATTGCTTAAACTGAGCCCCCTTTCATCCTAAAAACTTTTTATTTCTCGCATTTTTCATTCTAAAGTCGAACCGTCAAGGTGGTATATATCTCACCTTGTAGTATTTGTATTTCAGAGAAAGTTAATTGCTTGGTACATCATCACTGCTTTCGTTGTCGAGACTTGATATGTTCTTGTTGGAAAAGATAAATTATCGTGCTGAAAATTATGTGTATATATATATATATATATATATATCCAGATGTTTTGTAAGAGTTGTGATCACAAACTTCACGTGTCAATTGCGACTTTAGATATAACTGATTTGAGTTTTGAAACAAAATATGAGACTTTCTCTAATATATGCTTGAAGATGTGTTTCTTTTGTTTGCCTTTCTTTTGACTTTTGACGTTTCTAAATCTGGCATTACTCTTTTACTTGGCTGATAGCAGCAGTAAATGCTTGCAGTAATAACTTCCTTTTAATCTTCCTTACAACCGTCGTTTTTCATTCTATGTTTTAGTTTTAGTGTCTCTTGTATATATCGAGTTTTTATTGTGCATACATGTTTTGTGGTCAGGCGAAGTTAGAAGGTTGGGATATAGATGAAGAAGAAAGGATTTTGGACCCGGAGTTACTAGCAGAGGTAAGATTATCTTTTACTCCGTAAAATTATTTGTACCTATCTCTTTAAGATGTACTTCGATTGATTGGCGTGAAAGAGGAAATAGGCTCGTACTATATGTATATGAAGACTGAGATCGTAATTTCACTTATTTTTGCTCGAAGGAGATATTAGGTGTTGTGACTTGTAAGTCTGATGTCGAAATCTTGAGGAACATAAACGCACAGAAGACATGCTTTTATCACGGTTATTGCTAAATATTAGTGCGAGAAAGTAAATGCATCTCACACCCGTTCTATAAATTTAAAGAATTTCAGATAGACGGAGAATCTAAATAAAGATTTACAAATACAAAAACAATATCTGTATCTATATGCTAGAAGGATGTAGACTTTTGGACCTTGTACCTATTTTGAGCTTCACAACCCGAGCTCTCTCTGTGTGCACGCGCTAATTTCATTGTCTTAGTACATCTTACTAAAGTTTTCCCGAGGTTTATAAGAACTCTGCTTTTGAACTACTGGCAATGGCCTCTTTGAACTTCAGATTATGGAAATCAGGGAAGCTATTGAAGAAGCGGGAGACTCGGAGGCGCTGAAACATATTCAGGCACAGGTATGATTACGAGGAGCTCTTGAAATGTAGAGAAGTAGTGAGAAAATTTGCTGAAATTGTCTGCAGAATTCTTCCTGTCATCTCTACTCATCTATTGCCTTCTTTTCCTTCCTTCCATTGATTTGGTTTCCCATCTTAGACTTGCATTTGATTCCCCGCCCCCAGCCTCCTAGGGGTACAATCGAGTCAAGCCAAGCCCGAATAGTTAAAACTCAAAGTCTGGCTTGACAATAACCAAACTAGATTCGAATACTCATTATTAACTCGAGCACCAGAGCTTGGTTGGCGTGAGTGGCCGTGCACTCTCATCCCTTAAGAGAGGTCGGGAGTTCGAACCCCCTTTCCGAGAAACCAATCTGACCAGTACTTTGCCCCTTAATTAGGCTGGTCCGGTGAATTAAATGTGCCTCCTACAGTTAGGGTCTACTCAGGACATCTCATGGCCTGACAAAAAAAAAAAAAAACCTCGAGCATAAGGAGTTTGACTCGCTCACACCCCCACTCTCTCCTCACCATAATCCCGTGTTGCTTTGGCAGATACAGGAAGAGTTTGAAGAGTGGTCGAAATCTTTTGCAATCGCGCTCGAAAATAGAGATGGTGAAGAAGGTGTGTCATGTATCAGAAGAATGACATACTACAAGAGGGCAAATGAAGAAATCATCAAGAAACTGTGAGACTGGAAACACCATTCCAACATTGCTCATTTGCTGGGTGGGATGGGATTTATATTGAAAAGTAGTTTCTTACTAACCAAACATTTATTTATTAGTTAAAATGTCTTTATGGAAGATTAACTTAACATGCTAATAAGGACAGACAGGATTGTTTTAGACATCTCAGAATAAAAATTTTGCTCGTTCTCCAGGTGAATGTTGAGTTGAATTATTCATTTGCTTTACTTTTTTTTAGCATGTCAGACTCTGTGGAATTAATTATTCACCATGGTGAGAACCTTTATCCAAAATCCTAGGCTCCATTATATAAATGGTGTAATAGAAACAATTAGATGATTTTGGCAATCCTTTTCATGAGATTTTGTTGTGTACAATCTTAATTGGATTACTAAAATGTAGTGATTATTGAATTGTCTACCTATGTAGCGATATAAATACATATTATTTCAATTGACATTTGTTGTGTACATTTTTACCATTTCATTCTTTCAAAAGGTTGAACCCTAACCCTAAGGGTCCCCAAAATCCGGCCTGACGGAGCATTTGGGAAATCATGGTAACTCAACTGAACATGAACCATAGAGGCTAGACCTTTACTTACTGCGCACAAGGAACCCCCTCACTTTGAGATTCGACTATGGTCATTCTTCCAAAGTTTCACCTCTATGACCAATTGAGCTGCTCATGCGGGTCATTTTTACCATTTCATTGTATTATTGTGATGGAAACATGCAAGTGTTCATTGAATTGTCTACACAAGCTTGCCATTTCCATGGAAGAACTACATTAAAAATTAACTCAAAAACCTAAATTAAATCTTCATTACACCTATAACAATTCTAATAAAATTTTACCCAGTAAAACTGCAATTATAAGCATTAACTATGCAAATTTTCTCTTGTACAATTGCTTCTCCAATTTGTTCTCCTTTAATAGTTCTCAAGCAACATGCAATTCATATATCAGATTCCTTATCTCCTCCATTTTAGCATGTTCATTCATAGGTTGGATAATTTTGATCTTTCTAAATAAAGAAACCACACCCATATCCAAAGCACACTCTCTCGTATCCATCCTGAACTAATTTTGACCAACAAGATATAAGAAATTTATAAAATAATTTCAAAAAAAATAAAAATAAAATCGACCCACATAATATGCGGAATTTGCAACAAAAATTAAGTTAAGCACTGAAAACATATAAATTCAATATTTATTTATGAAAATAATTCTCACATTTCATTTTTAACACCGATAAAAGTTTTTGCATGAATCTCTTCCTAACTTGTGCAAATTGCGGATTCAACCCACATCTACAATACACTGGAGGCTTGTAATCTGAGTTTTTTTGCACATTAGATGAAAAGCATGAAGACATTTGAAAATATTAAAGACGATTTGAACTCTGAAGATGAAGATTAGAAATGATGATTTTTCGTTTGGAAAGAAGATGATGAAGAACCTAAACTATATTCTTCATCATTTCATTATTAATTTATAATAACACATCAGCATTTCGTTATTAATTTATTTTTTCAGGTCAACAAATTATATGAGCTACCAATGGGAAACAACCTAAAAATGTTAGATGAAAATACTTTAGAGGTATAAGTGTCTATATAGATCATATTTAGTCAATGGTGTCAATGAACAATCGTCCTATTGGACCATTTTACTTCTTAATTTTGATTTATCAACTTTACAAGAATTTTCTTTTATTCTTGAATTTAAAATTAACCAAAAAAATTTCATGTGTCAGTTTTACATTGACTAATTCAGTAATTCTAATCAATTTTAAATATAAAAATGAAATTAACACTCTAATTTTAGTTTTAGATTTAGAATGAATACTGGTCTCAGGTGTAGAGTCTACACCCTCCGGTGGTACAGCACACGGAGTAGAAAGGTACAACCCGGAGAAGCGTGAAGTGTTAGCCCAAAAGAGCAGTTTCTTTAGGGTTTTTTGTCGACAGGGACGAGCAGCCATTGCTAGAAATTTATACTCTTTCACTGAAAATGGATAAACCAAACCCTCCTTCACCCCTACCAGAAGAGCCGGCTCCAAAGAAGCAGAAGATGTCCACCACCACAACCTCTGACGATGAAGAATTTGACCCGGCCGTCGCCGCCGCAGACGGCAGTGCTCCACCGGAGAGGAAACCCAAGTACAAGCGTCGCAAAATCGCGATCTTCTTCGCGTACTGCGGGGTGGGGTATCAGGGCATGCAGAAGAATCCCGGAGCCAAAACGATCGAAGGCGACCTCGAAGAAGCGCTCTTCCACGCCGGCGCGGTGCCGGAGCAAGATAGGGGCCAGCCCAGGCGGTATGACTGGGCGCGCTCCGCCCGGACCGATAAGGGCGTCAGCGCAGTGGGGCAAGTCGTTTCGGGTCGGTTTTACATTGATCCTCCTGGCTTGGTCGATCGCCTCAACTCGAACCTCGCTTCCCAGATTCGTATCTTCGGTTACAAGCGGACGACGGCGTCGTTTAATGCTAAGAAGTTCTGTGATCGGCGGAGGTATGTGTACTTAATCCCTGTTTTTGCTCTCGACCCATCTGCTCATCGCGATAGGGAAAGTGTTCTTGCTAGCTTAGGATCTGGAAATGAGCTCGTTAAGTGTTTGGAATGCTCAGAAAGAGGGCGTAAAGTTTTCGGAATCATGGGTAAACGCAGTTTCGATTCAAAGAGTGAACCAATTGTTGTTTCATCCGGTTCAGGCATTTCGTCGAACACTGGAGACTCTCAAAACCAGCAGGAAAACATGAACAACTCCATACATTCCGGTTCAGGCATTTTGTCGAACACTGGACACTCTCAAAACCAGCAGGAAAACATGAAGAACTCCATACATTCTGTAGAGAATGGCGATGATGAGAGCAACCCAAATTCTGAAATTGAGAAACAAGTAGGAAATGAAACCTCCCAAAATGAGAAAAATGAGGTTACAAACATGGAAGTTGAGGAAGCTATAGTCCCAAACAAGATTTTTTCTTATGGTGATGAGGAGAAAGATAGGTTTAACAGAATTCTCAAGTACTACGAGGGAACTCACAATTTTCACAACTTCACAACAAGAACAAAAGCCGAGGACCCGGCTGCAAAGCGATACATAATCTCCTTTACTGCAAACACAGTAGTTGAAGTGGAAGGCATTAACTTTGTTAAGTGTGAGGTTGTTGGACAAAGCTTCATGCTTCATCAGATTCGTAAAATGATTGGTCTCGCGGTGGCAATCATGAGGAATTATGCTCCCGAATCATTGATTCAAACCGCCTTCAGTAAGTAAGTACTCCGATTACACTAACCTTTTTTTCAATCTGGAATATTAACATGTTTCTTGAAGTTTATTATGAAGATTCGAATAACGTAGTTTTGTATGTAATCAGGGATGTTAATATTAATGTGCCCATGGCTCCTGAGGTTGGGTTATATTTGGACGAATGCTTCTTTTCGTCGTATAACAAAAAGTGGACAGATCACGAAGAATTGTCAATGAAAGCTTATGCGGATATAGCAGAGGATTTCAAAATGAAGTATATATATTCTCATATTGCATCAACAGAGCACAAGGAAGGAGTCATGGGTCTATGGCTACATTCTCTGAATTACCGTAATTACCCTGATCTACGTTTTTCAAACTGTGATGAAACTACAGATGCAAAAAGCATACCTGATTCTCGCACTGTCAACAATGGTGAGGCTCTGGATGCAGAAACTGTGGAATCTGCAAGTGCCAAAACAATTGAAACTGTGAAGAACGATGAATCTACAATTGCCAAAACTACTGAAAGTAATGACATGGATCCATCGTGTGCCATGAGTGAAGCTGATGCAAAAACTGTCGAAGCTGCAGACAATGCTGATTCATGTCCTGGGAAGAACGACAAATCTGCAAGTACCAAAACTACTGAGGTTGATGCTCTGGATGCAAAAACTGTCGAAGATGCAGGCAATGCTGATTCGTGCCCTGGGAAGAACGACGAAACTGCAACTGCCCTTTGAGGTTGATGCTCCGGATGCAAAAACTGTGGAAGCTGCAGAGAATACTGATTCGTGTCCTGGGAAGAACGACGAATCTGCAAGTGCCAAAACCTACTTAAAGTAATGACATGACATATGTGAAAAGTGTTGCAGTTGAGGGCATGGCTGAGTGAGAAGACTGAAGACATATGCCTCAAAATTTTCCATTTGATTTGATAGTTCTTAGTATTTTGCTTCTTGAAGATTTGCATGTGAAGCAAACTTAGATATAACTTTCTTTGATAGAACTCATAGAAGTGAAGAAGAGATTTCAGTGATGGGTATTTTTTGTTTTTAATTTCTGTGTTTTGATTTGGATAAAGTTTTAATTTTTTTTTACATTTTTTATTTTATATTTAGTAAAAATATATATATTTAGTAAGTGTAAAGAGTATTTATGGGGATAGGAGGGTGTCTATTGGAATGAGATGGGATTGCGTGCGGGCGTGGCCTCGTTGAAAATTAACGAGGCAAAAACATGTCCGTTGACCCTGATTGGGCGAATCTCCCGCCGGAGCTCCTAGACTCCATAGCCAAAAAGCTTCGAATCCACAAAGATTATGTCCGATTCCGAGCCGTATGCGCGAGCTGGAGGGGATCGGCTTTGAAGACGCCGACGCATCTTCCCTGCCAATTCCCATGGCTAATGCTATCGCAGAGGCAATCCAGCAGGCTAGGGTTCTTCAGTCCTCTGGATAATAGGTTTCACTTCCTCATCCTCCCGGAGGCCTCCAACCGCCGCCGCCGCTGTGGCTCCTCCCACGGCTGGCTCGTCATCCTCGACGAGTCGCCGTCGGTCTTCATCGTCAACCCGCTCACCCGAGCCAAACTCAATCTCCCGCCGCTCTCCCAATTCCCTAACGTCCTCGATTTCAATTTCTACAACGTCGGCCGTGAATACACCCTCCGATCCGAGGGCGAGATCCATACCTGCAGTTTGAAAGAAATGCGCGACACGTTTATCAAAAAGGTTGTCCTCTCCGGTAATCCTCTGCTCCAACCGGACTTCACCGCCATGGCGATTCTCAACCAAACAGGGGACCTGGCGTACTGCAAAAACGGTGAGAATTCCTGGAATTTGATCGACGATGCTAGGTCATTTTGTGAGGACGTCATTTACAGCGACGGATTGTTCTACGCTGTGAATAAATTTGGGTCAATTGTAGTCTGCGATGTTAACAGCGATTCCCCTAGTCCTAGGGTTTCATTCATCGACACGCCATTACAAACTGGGGGTGATATGCAGTATCTGGTGAAGGTAGACGATGGCTTTCTGCTAGTCACTCGGTATCTAGAACTCGACGTTGATATCCAGAACCACCGCCTCGATATCGTGTACAAAACAGTCGAATTCCGCGTGTTTAGGCTGGATTTGAGCGGGGAGAAATGGGAGAGAGTTACAAGTTTGGAAGATAGGGTGTTGTTTCTGGGCGAGAATTCTTCCTTGGCTCTATCAACTTCAGATTTTCCAGGATTCAAGGGGAACAAGATTTACTTTACAGATGATTATTCCGAGATGAACTATGAAGGTGCTAACGCAGATCATGATGTTGGGATCTATAACATGGAGGATGGTAGCTTCTCAGAATTCCCCTGCTACCCTCGAAACCCACATTCTGTGCTCTGCTGGCCGCCTCCGATTTGGATCACTCCCAACCCATGTTAAACCTGCAAATATGTGAGTGATGTTATACCCTTTGTTCTTATATGTGATCATGTGAATGCCCATTCTTCTGGTTTATATGGATAAAATTTTGTGATAAATATGATACTTTAGGTTCTTGAATCTCATAATACTCTAAATGCGGGTTCAATTCTGGCTCATGTTTGGAGTTCACTATTTGTCTATGCTAATCATGTTATTGGAATGAACTTTTGGGTTATTGCATTACAAATCTTTTCAACATGGGGTAACGCCCAAACAAAACTCATACTCTAAACGCGGGTACAGTTCTGGTTCGTGTTAGGGGTTGCTATTTGACTGTGCTAATCCTGTTATTGGGATGAATTTTTGGGATATTGAATTACAAATCTTTTCAACATGGGGTAACGCCCAAGCAAATCTCGTACTCTAAACGCGGGTACAGTTGTGGTTCGTGTTAGGAGTTGCTATTTAACCGTGCTAATCCTGTTATTGGAATGAATTTTTGAGTTATTGGATTACAAATCTTTTCAACATGGGGTAATGCCCAAGCAAAACTCATACTCTAAACGTGGACACAGTTTTGGTTCGTGTTAGGGGTTCACTATTTGTCTATGCTAGTCATGTTATTGGAATGAACTTTTGGGTTATTGCATTACAAATCTTTTTAACATGGGGCAACGCCCAAGCAAAACTCATACTCTAAACACATATACAGTTCTGGTTCGTGATAAGGGTTTGCTATTTGAGTGTGACAATCCTGTTATTGGAATTCATTTTCGGGTTATTGCATTACAAATCTTTTCAACATGGGGTAACACGCGAACAAAACTCATACTTTCGCGGGTATAATTCTGATTCGTGTTTGGGGTTGCTTTTTACCAGAATTCATTTTCGGGTTATTGCATTGCAAATCTTTTCAACTCAGGCACTGCCCAAGCTAAAACTCACATGCCTTCCATCAATGAACTAGGAAAGATCCATCCTGCTACCAAACTGCTAGTGTTTATCTGCATCTGACATCTTCTTCACCTGATTAAGTTTCTTATTGTGGATGATGCTTTATGTTGTTGCAGCTCAACGGTAGTGAATATCGCGGTGAAGAATGAATGATTTCGAGCTTCTCTGTGAAGTAAGATTTCATCTGCTTTTCATTCTTCAACTGTATATATTGTTGTATATTATATATAAAGATGTAATTTACCAGAGCTGATATGCTTGAAGTCTATATTAGGCATTGCATATACCAAATACATTTTATATATTGTTGAACTGTATATATTGTTGTATACTTGTATGTATTATATATAAAGATGTTTAGTGCAGAGGCATTGCTTTTCAAGTGAACTGTTTCTTGTCTCCTTTTCCTTCTTTCAGTTCTCTGCCATTTTTCTTCTAGACTTCAACTTGGTAGTATATTTAGAAGGCTAAATCTTTACCTCAAAATGATTTCAACCAAACAAAAAATTTTATTTATGTTTTCCATTTGAAGAAAATATAACTGATATAATAACTGCTTTATATGCTTCCGTACATATACAACTATACAAGTCTAGGACAAACAACACAGTATTAATACAAGGAATAAGGGTCAAATTAGCCACTAAACGTAACCTGAAAGTGCAATTAGGCCACTGTACTAAAAAAGATTACAATTATACCATTCAACAAGTCAAATGTGTGCAATTTTACCGGCTAGCAGGTAAACGCCCTCTCCTTCCGGTTACCTGGTGACATGGACGTTGAGTTGGCAATTATTTCCCTTTTCTTTCTTATTTCTCCCATTGAAATTTCTACTCTCTCTCTTCTTATCACAACCCAGTTGACCTTCACGACGGTTTTAGCTCTCTTTATCAATGCACAGAGGAGGTTCATGCCTTATGACCTTCACCGCCGTGATGTCGACCTTCAACTCCGTCGTGTTTCTCACATTTTCCCTTTTCCTTCTGGTGTTCGACAACGATAGTGGCAGATCCCCGGCGACATCTAGCAACTCCGCCGCCGCCAAAGTTCGTTTCATGTTAGGGGCTCTGTTCACAGTTCACGGTCGATACCACGGCTTCTTTTGCGTTACTGTCCTCGTTAAAGGAACTCGCATTCGAGTGATTGCTAGTGACATAGGGAATGTGTGTGTGTGTATGCTAGTGACATAGGGAATGTGTGTGTATGCCATGTCAGGAGATCAGCGAATCACGTAACTCATTAATTAGCTCGGGCGACCGATTCCTTAGCTGGCTCGGAGGTGTGGCTCCAAATCCCACCTAGTTGCATTTCCGAATTATTACGCCTTTAATGAATGGTTTCTGGTTTACTTTCCAAAAAAAAAAAATGCTCTCATCATTCCAACTGCCCTCACAAGCAACTCCATAGATAAAAAGATAATAGATTATAATGAGTTGTCATCTAATCCACGCATCAAATAACTTCTCTATGGATGCATATAACCATTCAATCCCAAACATGTTTCACTCAAAGCTACAAACGTCATTTTTTGCATACAATCTTTTAAATATTTGTCAAATCATCTTTCTCAACATCTTTTTTTTTTTAGAAAGACTCAACATCTTTTTAAAATCGCGCTCTTAGCATCATTTCACGCAATAACAAACATTCTAAAGTCATGCTCTAACACACATTTAAGCCATAATGCATCACCCATAACTCCATCACATTGCTAAAGGCAATGCCAATGTCACAAGTAAAGCCCCCAAACCAAAGACAAATATTTAAACTACTTTTATTACCACTTAACTTTCAATTGGATGTAAATTTTTTTTAGTACTACTGACTCTGTTACAATTGGATATTAAGTTAAATATTACATATTTAAAAAAAATTTCACAGTGTCTTGCATTTAAAAAATAAAAATAGACAAATTAAATGAATACTGTTAAATTAATAAGATGATTTTTTTGTCAAAAAGTAAGGGAAAAAGAAAAAGCTAAATTGTACTAACATTTCAAGTTTTAATGTTAAATTATTAATTGTATAATTTTTTTTAATACTACTGACTCTATTACAATGTAATATTTGTTCATAATTACTTTTTTAACCAAATAAAGCTCAAAGAGTCAATATCACCAGGCTCGAACCCACAATCTCCCCTATAGGGAGCAACTTGATAAAAATATTTTAAAATTTTAGATTATTTTCATCAAATTTTAATAACAAATCAATAAATTAAATAAATAAATAAATAATGAAACGGGTGAAGTATAGTAGTATACATTTTAATTAGATTTATGTATTTACAATAAATAAATAAATAAAATCCCTAATATATAAATTCATATAGCCTTTGGTGAGCCTCTTCTGGTAGCGCTGAGGTTGTATAACAGTGAAGCACGGCGTAATCTGCGGTTGTGGGGAAGAAAGAGATCGGAGATCGGAGATGGGAGACGGACATGGCCACGGCGTAACTTACAAAGGCATTACGATCCATCAGCCCAAGCGCTGGCACACCGTCACCGGCAAGGGCTTGTGTGCCGTCATGTGGTAATAATTTGCCTTCGGATTTCTCTGCTTTTCCCTTTACATTCAATTCAGCCTCTGCGGTCTCGATTTGTCGATTCGTATCCTCGTATGTAACGGTCTATCTTCTGATTACTCGAATTCCACAGTTTTGTTATCTGATAGAAGCTCAATTTGATGCGTAAATCTCGGATTTTTTAGATGATTCGATCACATGGATGTAAAATGTTTTGTAATGTTTGTTTCTTGGTTTCATTTGCTAAAGTAAAGTTTTAACCTTTGCCCTTGAAAGTACTCTGATTCGTGTTTTTTGTTGGCAACTATCAGGATGTTATTTCAAGATAAAATAAGAAACGGTGCCCTAAAGTTCTTGTATTTACATTCGATGCGTTAAGAATATGCGGAAATGTTAATTTATACTACAATATTGAAGCAATGAAATTAGTTAAAGGGTAAAAATTATTGTCATTCTTATGTGAGCATAGTTAATAGTTAGTAGTTTGGTATACTTGGATTAGTTACAAAGACTTTGAGACTTTTGTGCATTCTGCCTACTTGAGCATCACGGGCTTTGGGCTTTTCTCCCCTTTGCTTGTCTTGTTTTTGTATATCTGCTTGCTAAACTAAATTGAGAAAAAGGGACTTATGCGGGTGTTTGACATGAAAACTTAGAAGTGTGCTTGGATGGATTCTAACTTTTCTCTCCATTTCTCATCCTTGTGCATTTATATACCCTAGTCTATGCTCACTCTAAGCATTTTTGTCACTCCTCTCTCCACTCCATCAGTCAACACCACAAGTTGCTCCTATCCCTGAGTTTTCTTTCTTATACAAATTTTATGTTCTATTTTACTGGTTTCACTCTTCTTATGTGTCAGTGCATGTGGGGCTTATCCCTAAGATACTGAGGCATCAGAAGGTTGGGAGGGACTAGGGAGTACCATTACCTTTATGTTGTCCTCCATTCTCCTCTGGCTTTTGTGCACTTTGCTTATTGGACCACTCTAGAGTTGCCTAATGCCCCCCTTGATTGTCTCTCTCTTTTCTATATTTGCTTCCTCCAAAAGCACAACTTATGATCATCTGTTGGTGTTGGAACTTGGAATTGTTTTGTCAAGTGGAAGGCAAAAGTAGTTAATCCAATACATGAGCCACCATTTCTATCGCTGAATTAATTTCACGGTGTAATCTATGCTTTCCTTAGGGTTATGCATGTTATTCTCTTGGCATGTGTGTGATATACTTACTGTCTGATGCTTCATAACTGTCTGCTATTTATACACATAAGTAATCGATTGTTGTTGTTATTATTACTATTACTAATGACTTGAGTGTTATATCAGGTTTTGGATTCTGTACCGAGCCAAACAGGATGGACCTGTAGTATTGGTGAGCTGCCATTATCTGCCTTATTTTCATGATTAAGCTTCTCGTTGTTCTTAATTGCCTCTGATTAGCCACGTCCATGAAATATTCACATAGGGATGGAGGCATCCTTGGGAAGGTCATGGAGATCATGGGAATGATCATTAGGTAAGCTCTTTCACAAATTGCAGTGCTGTGGGTATGCAACATGCAAACTATTTATCTTGTTTTTTTGAAGTTGTTTAAACGAGTTCCCTCTTATTGGAGCCTTGTCTATGACGTTTAAGAAAATCATCCTTCATAGGATTAACACATCTAGATGTTAGCGGCAATATAATGAAAAAATGTGACTAGATCTGCTATTAATTATATCTGAATAAACCCCGTATGTATATTAAGATAATTTGAATTTTAAAATGTCTTGGTTGCTATCTAGATCCTATTGCTTTTAGCTTGATAGCTTCACTGCTTCAGTCATCCCTCCGAAAGAGATGTCAGATGCATTTTCAAATGTGTGGGCATCATAGGATTAAAGAGTATGCCTACATTATAGCTTTTCACCTGTTTACTGCACCCATCATTTCTCATCATTTTGTTTTTCTTTTTCAGATGTCGGGTTCAAAGCATGAAGGCAATATGAATAACCTTACTGAACTTTGGCTTATTCTGGGAATGAAAGTGTCTTGTAAGAGTTCTATTGATTTCTGTTCAATAATTGACTAGAAACGGGATTGTCACGAATGTGATCCAAAAGATCAACTTATTCTGCACTTAATGTTACTGAATCTATTTTGATGCTGTAAACTTTCAACTTTGTTGTGATTTCTTAATTCTAGTTGGAGAATAACAGAAAGGTTTATTATGACTTGCATCTGAACTTGAACTTTTGAATCATTCTTTTTCCTCCATCTGAGATTTTTGTGAGCATACAGTCATTGTGCTTTGATGATGATATTCTTGTATGCACATATATGTTCTCTCTCAGTGCTTTGGCTGCTGCAGTGTAAATCTATTTATATTGTTTGATTTGGTTTTTTTTTTTTTTTTTTTGTTCCTTGAGAATGAGCTATTTCCTTTGCAAGAAGTATAGACATCCCGAGAAAGGTTGAGCATTAGCTAATTCTTAAGTTTTTGAGAATAGCTATTTTTTCATAGTTGATAAAATTGAGTTGTAGAAGAGGATGAAAGGCAATCGCCAAAAGGGTGATTTTATTCCAATTTTAAAACAAATGCATCAACCAAACACATAAAATGAGAGGGAAAAAAGTAAAAAAGTTGAAGAGATTTCTATAGCATACAAGGATTGGGATGAATCAACTCTTTGTTCATACATGCCTAACTACCATTTCACTGACATGTTAACACCATAACTAGGGGCTAAGGCCAGTTGTGTTACAAAGTATGTGATTTTGTATTAAATTACAAGAAGAAAAAAAAAAAAACAAAACAAAATCTTTACATATAACACGAGGAAGACATGATGAGTAAGCCTTCTCTCAAGATCAACGAGTGTTACAAGAATGCCTTTGCCAATTACATCTTCAATATTCTTCATCATCCCATGCCATTTTCCCTTCACGAACTTTAAAATTGAACCCCGACAGAGCAGCTGATATCGTATCAAGGTCAAGGAAGATTTTTCAATATTGAACTGCCCTGGAGATGGGTCAAGGAAGATTTTTCAATTATGAACTGCCCTAGAGATGGAAGTGTTTTAGTAACATTTTTTGGAAACTCTCGGTCATTATCCAAGGATTTGTATTGGGTAAATCTTGCCTTGTAATCCTAGCCGGCAAAAGACCACAAGGAGGTAAACTTGCCTAGAGTTAGCCGGCTCAAACCAAGAAAGCCAACAGGCTGTTCCCACTTGGAGTCAAACTTGTAACCTTGTGGTTACCAAGTCAACAACCTGGCCAACTTGGTTGGAGTTGCTCCCGTGTTTTAGTAACATTCCATAATGATGAAGATGATGAAAACGAAAATAACATTCTGAGCACACAGAAATTTCGTGACTATCTCTCTGCAATAGTGTAATCAAGAAGTTTTGGAGAAGATGACTGAATAACTAACCTCAGGTGAATAGGAAACAATCATTGGTCGTATAAGTTTTGCAGTAGGCCTAGAGTTTTAATGTAGACTTCATGTATCTTAGAGCAGATCGTAGCATAGCTCTAGCTTTTCTATCTGGTTTGCATCCAGACAAGAGCATTTCTTCATACACGGCTGGAACCTGAAACCCAATTTAACCTTTTAACATCGTATCAATAATGCATTATCCAAGTCAATTTGATAAAGATATGATACTTTTTATAACTAAATTTCTAGTGAACTTGTATATTCCTAAATGTAATGCTGCCAGATACATTTGTGTTTCATGAGAGAATTGAACACGTTCAGTTAACACCTAATTTATTGTTCTTTGAATAAAGCCTACTAGCAAAGTAAATCTCTTTATACCCAATTAGATTGCATCAAGGTTAGTCAAGTGGAGCTTAAATTCCTAGATGCTTGAACACCTAATCACAGAAATGGTGCCCACAGGATAACTCAAAAGTCATAACAGCTTGAAAAAGGCGTAGTAACTTAAATATCACATCCAGCCTTGGATTTTTTACTACTGATGTACACATAAATTCTAACCAGTGTATCCAAGGACCTAATCACCTAGAATGTTTCATGTGAGACAGGCGTAAATATAAAACCTTAACAAAACCAGCGGTGGTCTGGTTACTAACTAACAAGAAAAGAGGTGAAAGCAACAAAAGCATACGTAAAATATTGCAGATACCATTTACCTTTCCGAATTTCTCAACCCGGATCAAAGCTTTCATGAGAGTGGTGTAAGTAACAACATCTGGCTTCAGGTCCTGTGGTTATAAATATTTTTGGAGCAACTCAGAAAGATTATAAAGCCTCCAATTCATTAAAACAAAACAAAAGAAAAGGAAAAAGAAGACAAACAAGCAGAAGAATAATTCACTGCTTCATATGTTTACTCACATTTTCTTTCATATACCTCAAAACAGCAAAGGCTTCAGCATCTCTTCTATCCTCACCAAATGCATTAATCAAAGAATTAAGAGCCAATATACTGGGCCTCAAACCATCTGCCTTCATATTCCTGAATGCATTTACTGCTTCCTCAGAAAATCCCTGTCAATTAAAAAAATAATAAAATAAAATTATACCGGAGATGCAACAGTGTTATAAAACTATAAGATGCTGCAATCAAATCGACTATTAAATGGTACCAACTCAATGCACTCTATGGAAATGTGTTAAAGCAAACATAACTTTAAACTATAAACAGATTGATGTATCATGTATACACAGACCCATATTCACATAAACTATGTAAACTGAGATGCATCCGTGATAGAGATTTGATAGGCAAAAATATCCACAGATACTTCATAGTAGCAAAGTAGAGAGTTGTTCAAAAGGCAACAGCTGCTAGCCTGCTATTATATCATAGAGTGATATGGTATTTGGTCCAATTTAAAAAGGCAATATTAGGAAGCTGTAAATTCAAAGATATTCACCCTCTGTGCGTAGGCATTAATCAAGGCATTATACATGGTAGAGGACGGCTTCAACCCAGCAGATTTCATCACTTGCAAGCACTCAATTGAGTCACTAAATTTCCCTGCCTGTCCATAAATATCAACTAGAGTAGTATACGTAACTACATTAGGCAGTACTCCATGACTCTGCATCTTCCCGAGTAAATCCTTTACTCCTTCCCACCTCTCCTGCTGCCCAAAAGAATTAATCATTATATTGTACGTTGTGGTGCAAGGCAAACGGCCACTTTTCTGCATTGCTTCAAACAGCTCCTCGGCCGTGCTATGATGGCCATGTTTGCAATGGCAATCTATAAGCGTATTCCATGTCACGTTATCCGGCTCAATTCCCTCCACTTTCATTCTTTCAAATGTTTCCATTGCCTGTTCAAGACAATTATACTTGCCAAAGGTATCAATCATTACGTTATAGAAATGCCTATCGGCTTTAACCCCACAACTCTTCATTTCCTTGAGCACCTCGAATGATTTCTGCCACTCTCCCCGATCACGATAACTGGCCAATATCCTACTGAAGATAAACGAATTAGGTTGCAAACCATTAGCTTCCATTTCTTTCAACACAATCTCAGCATTCTCCCAGCTGCCCGCATTTGCACATGCATCAATAAGTAGACTATATGTATATTCATCCGGTGTGACCCCGCTTCTCTTCATCTCAGATACAACATCCTCAGCGTCATTTAAAGATCCCGCTTTTGCATAACCTTTCAAGAGGGCATTATATGCCCTCTTAGTAGGCTTTAATCCACCTTCTTTCAACTCCACAAAGACAGCTTCTGCCTCTTCTGTCCTACCAGAATTCCCCAAACTAGATATTATAGCAGTAATGGTAGCTCTTCTAAGGCTCAAGCCATTTCCTTGAATCATGCCGAGAAAATCCAGAGCCCTATCAACGTTCCCCGCCTTAGCAAACGCCACTGTTATATCATTCAACAACTGCATATCAAGCTCAATCATATCAGCCTCAATTTCCTCATACAACTTCTCTATCATAGCAGAATCAACGCTATTGCTCCTAGTAAGCGACTGAATAATCAAACTGTAATTCACAAAGTCAGGGTGATAACCGTCTCGGCGCATTTTGGTGAGCAGGTTCAGGGCCTTCTCGATATCGTTGTTGCGAGCACACGCGCCGATAAGCGCATTGTACGTCAATGGAGTCAGCGTCTGGCGCTGGGAAAGTAAGAACGCTTCGTAGAGCTTCTCGGAGCGTCCCAGCGCGTTAATCAAAATGGCGTAGAGAAGCTCGTACGAGAAACAAAGGTTGTGCTTCTGCAGCCAAGTAACGAGCGCGTAGGCGGTAGAGAATGAATCCGGCGTGGACGACAGAGACTTGAGGAGGTTGTGCCAGAGCGGCGCCGGGACAGCTCGGTACGACTCGGCCAGCTTTAACTCGGCCGGGTCGAGACGAGTGGGTGAAGACGACGACTCGGCGTCGGACTCCGTGGGAGTATAAGCCGATAGGAATTCAATGAGAGGGGTGAAGTCGTAGTTGCGATTAGGGAGTGCAGCGACGTCGTATCCTTCTCCCTCTTGCGGTTCGCTGCCGAGGCTGAATTGTCTGGCGGAGGCGGTGGTGATAGAGAAAGCAGCGGCGAAGAGCGGCGGTTGGAATGGTTTTTGACGGCGGAGAATTGTGGGGGAGAAATGAAGGGAGGGAAGACGAAAGTGCAAAGAGGGAGGTAGCAAGAGTGCGTTCATCCTCCTCCTCCTTCTCCGGCCACACAGACACAATGGCGACGTGGCCGTTGGCAAGATAATTTTATCGGCTCTCTCTTTCGTTTTTTTTTTTTTTTTTCCACAATGATATTAATTACTCCGTACTATTATGAATAGAAATATAGATGTCATGACACTTGTTACCATTTTATTTTTTCAAAAGGAATCTTCAATCTCAAAAGTTTCTTATATCTCGATTTAACAAATTATTTAGGATGATAAAAATTAAGATGATTTAATAGCTCACATGACCAAATGTTGAATTGTAAAAGGGATATGTCTACTTTGAACATGGTCCAACAGAACATTTGAGATGATGAAAATTAAGGTGATCCAATAGCTCACATGCCAAATGTTGAATCACAAAAAAGATATGTCCACTTTGGATATAATTCCCACACTACCGTAGCCAAGGTTCAAACCTTAGTTACTTCCCTCAAATAATGTCTACTGAACAATTGAACTAAGTCCGTGCACATTGATTTTTTGTGCTCGAGAGGAGGATCAACCAGCCACGCAATAATGATTCAATCGTTATGCTGTGGAACTGTGTCCACCTGGGAAGGTGGACACGGTT